TTTAGTTTTTTTCTCACTTTTGCTTCCCACTCTCTGTTCCCACAGTTCACCTTTAAAAGCAGAACTATGTCCCTTTATTATACCGAAATTCTCTTTAATGTTGCGACCAAAGACCTGTGGGATTTTTTTGCTTTAAAAAGAATCTCAAGGAGTTTTTTTTAGTGCCTCATCCTTAAATTAGAAGATAGCCTAAGGTCCAGGGGCGGTGCTAGATGGGGGATCAGGGGTGACCATTTATTTACCTCTAATACAGATGGTGGCTGTCAGTGTTTAGTTGTGGTTTTGGACCCAAATGCGGAGGCAGGGGTGACTTTCTTGAAGATTTAATGGAATAAACACAGGTAACAAAGGCAGGAATCCAACAAATCCAAAAAACCAACTTAAAAAATGTTAAACAAACCAGAACCATGGAGACATCACAGGAAACCAATCACGAGGAGCCAGAGTAAGACGAGGAACCAGCACTGAGGAACTGCACAAGGAGAGTATTTATAGTAGACTGAACAAAGAGAGGACTAACGAGCAGATTGGGAGCAGGTGTGAAGAGAGCGGTCAAGGAAGGAGCTAGGGAAAAGAATACCAACACAAGAGAGCAACAGAGGGCAACAAATGAAAACCTTAGAACTCAAATATATCCAGAAAACACAACAAACTAAACCAATAAAACTAGAAAAAATTGAGCAAAGTAAAACCTAGCAGAACCAATACCGTGACAGTGGAAACAGTAATACTCTGAAGTGGAATATTCAAAACATTTAAATTTTTCATATATTAACAATTACTTGATGGCAAAAACACTGTGGTTAATTATGCACATCGATATACTAACATTAAAGATCATAAACATAGAATTTAAGCAGAAATATATTTTGTGTTTAATGGGGTAAAGAGAAAAAAAAAAAGTAGGTAAGTAATGACAAGAATGCATGATGTTTGAATATATTCGTCTATTTTTTAGCAAAGGCTGTGGTAATATATAATTTGTGTTTATTTATAAATTATGGATGTTTTGCTCATTAATCTTCCTGTTGGAAAAAGTGTAGATTGAGTGTGAGGTTTTGTTGCCTATCCGCTTTAGACCACCCCTCAGTGTAGATTGGTTATTGCCTGGACACCCTTATAAAAATGTTCTGGCTATGCCTCTGCTAAGATCTACAGGTGCTGGTCATAAAATTAGAATATCATGAAAAAGTAGATTGATTTCAGTAATTCCATTTAAAAAGTGAAACTTGTATATTATATTCATACATTACATACAAACTCATATATTTCAGATGTTTATTTTGTTTAATTTTGATGATTACAAATGACAACAAATGAAAATCTCAAATTCATCATATCAGAAAATTAGAATATTGTGAAAAGGTTCAAAATTGATGGCCCCTGGTGCCACACTCTAATCAGCTAATTAACTCAAACCACCTGCAAAAGCCTTTAAATGGTCTTTCAGTCTAGTTCTATAGGCTACACAATCATGGGGAAGACTGCTGACTTGACAGTTGTCCAAAAGACGACCATCGACACCTTGCACAAGGAGGGCAAGACACAAAAGGTCATCGCTAAAGAGGCTGGCTGTTCACAGAGCTCAGTGTCCAAGCACATTAATAGAGAGGCGAAGGGAAGGAAAAGATGTGGTCGAAAAAAGTGTACAAGCAAGAGAGATAACCGCACCCTGGAGAGGATTGTGAAACAAAACCCCTTCAAAAATGTGGGGGAGATTCACAAAGAGTGGACTGCAGCTGGAGTGAGTGCTTCAAGAACCACCACACACAGACGTATGAAAGACATGGGTTTCTGCTGTCGCATTCCTTGTGTCAAGCCACTCTTGAACCACAGACAGCGTCAGAAGCGTCTAAAGAGAAACAGGACTGGACTGCTGGTGAGTGGTCCAAAGTCATGTTCTCTGATGAAAGTAAATTTTGCATTTCCTTTGGAAATCAAGGTCCCAGAGTCTGGAGGAAAAGAAGAGAGGCACATCATCCACGTTGCTTGAAGTCCAGTGTAAAGTTTCCACAGTCAGTGATGGTTTGGGGTGCCATGTCATCTGCTGGTGTTGGTCCATTGTGTTTTCTGAGGTCCAGGGTCAACGCAGCCACATACCAGGAAGTTTTAGAGCACTTCATGCTTCCTGCAGCTGACCAACTTTTTGGAGATGCAGATTTCATTTTCCAACAGGACTTGGCACCTGCACACAGTGCCAAAGCTACCAGTACCTGGTTGAAGGACCATGGTATCCCTGTTCTTAATTGGCCAGCAAACTCTCCTGACCTTAACCCCATAGAAAATCTATGGGGTATTGTGAAGAAGAAGATGCAATACACCAGACCCAACAATTCAGAAGAGCTAAAAGCCACTATTAGAGCAACCTGGGCTATCATAACACCTGAGCAGTGCCACAGACTGATCGACTCCATGCCACGCCGCATTGCTGCAGTAATACAGGCCAAAGGAGGCCCAACTAAATACTGACTGCTGTACATGCTCATACTTTTCATGTTCATACTTTTCAGTTGGCCAACATTTCTATAAATCCTTTGTTTTTATTGGTCTTCAGTAATATTCTAATTTTCTGATATGATGAATTGGAGATTTTCATTTGTTGTCATTTGTAATCATCAAAATTAAACAAAATAAACATCTGAAATATATGAGTTTGTATGTAATGTATGAATATAATATACAAGTTTCACTTTTTAAATGGAATTACTGAAATCAATCTACTTTTTCATGATATTCTAATTTTATGACCAGCACCTGTAATTTCAACCTAATGGCCATAATTTTTGTCATATTTTTTCTTGTAGTTTTAAGAAAGTTAATAAACTTTACTCATTCTAAAGACATGTATATATATATATATATATATATATATAGATGTGGGTTCTTTTTTATGTATGACTTTTGGCAGGATGGTCACTCATGTAAAGGCCCGTCATCTTTTTTTTTTTTTTAAGATTGCAGGCATTCAAAAACTACATTTCAATCTTATTTACTAATAATCTAATGATTTATAAACCAATTAGCTTTATTAGTGATCCTCCGATGTGACATGTGGATTTAAAGCTTTTTTTAAAGATTTTAATTTGGTATGATGTGTCAGAATTCAACAAAGAGAATGCTGTAGATGGGAGTTTTAAGTTGCTTTTAATGAACAAGGGGAAATTATTGTTTTTTTCTACATAGATCAACAGTCAGAGGGATCAAGGTAACTTTGGCACCTTTCATCACTTCAGCAGCATTTCTAACTGACGAAATGGGACTAATTGTGTCTTTGTGGTTTTCTGTGTGTAACACAGTTTCATGATGTTTCATTGGTCAGTGTTAAGTGGCTTGAATGTAAATATCCTGTAAAAGAGAACAAAAACAACCAAAGTCAAAAGAAAAGCTTGACGATACTCTTGGAAAGCATTGAGAAATGTTGAACAAAACTACTTCTAATGTTTGGCTGTTTGATTGTAGAATGTGTACAAAAAAAGACATTTCAGACCTTTACTGCAGAATAATTTCATTGTTTTACACTCAGTCAGATAAATCTTCGAATGGGGAGGCCTGATTTCCCATCGCAGAATCATAAGTGATCCTAAAACACCAAATCCAACGAGTTTTGCTATGATCTCAGCAGGAACTAAGTGGATTCACATGGCTGACCTGAGTCTGCATCAGGCTGAGAGAATGTTGCCCTGCAGGGAAAAACACTAAAGCCCCTAACTCACTGCTCTCTTTGGGGGAATCAGAAGAAGAAACAGAGCTGTTGTGGAGTTAAAAAGGATTCATATTTTAGTTGGATTGTTCCAAAGAGAGGTTTTTCAGCCATATTAAGTTGCTCCACAGACCACGTCAATTCAAATCTCAGTCTGCAGAGCAGGTTAGGCGTTAAGTAGATATTTGCGTTGCTGCTCCAGAGTCGAAATTGAACTGACGTCCCGCTGCTACAAAAAATTCACCTCAGCCGTGACGTTTAAGTAGATTTTTTGTGATAGTTGGCAGGAATGGAGGTGGACTTACTGAATTCTAGTCCACATCTAAAAGCAGCATTATTTCTGTTCAGGAGAAAACAAATATTAATTTGAATTTGATTAATATATCTGATAAATGGTCAGAATCAACGTGGAAGGGTGGACTGGGGTTGACTGTCTGGAGTTTATTTCTTTGTGCATCATTGCATCCCGACATCCACTCTCACTCCCTTAGATGTTTCTGTTTCTGTATGTCACTCCTGGGTTCTTACCCTTCAGAGCCTGTTGTATGTCATTTAAATTTGCTATATCTAATGTAAAACCTCTGCTTCCATCCAAATAATCCATTGGCCCAGAGGCTGATGGAGACTTTCTCTTTTGGATCTTTTCTCTTCCTTACTTATAGTATCTGTCAATGAAGTCAGCTGAAATTTTAGCGGTCAATACACTGCAAAAACGATCTAGAGATAAGTAAAAATGTCTAAATCTTAGTGTATTTACCCTTAATTTTAGTAGGTAAATGACATAGTTTGCCAATGGAATTAATATTTTTACTCTTAAAATTAGATAATAAGCACTCTTATTCTCAATGTAAAATGTCTTGTTGCATTGGCAAAGTGTCCTCAATTCTATAAAAAATGCACTTATTTTAATTAATAAATTACTTATTTAGATTTATAATTTTTGCAGTGTAGTGAGCCAAAAATGTCTGCTTGACTTCAGTGTGTAGTTTGAGGGTAGATAGTATTCCCCTGAAACCTGAGATAATCTGGTATTTCTGAGAGAAAAAAAACAAAAAAAAAACTAGAATATTTGCTTATTTACTAGTTTAATAAGCAAAAGTAAAATGTGTTTCTGTGTTCTTGGTAAAGAAAGAGTAAAAACACACACATAGCCTCTTCCTTCCTTTGGTCCTTACTTCCTAGTCCTCAGTGGAGTCCTTGGAGGTTTGTCATGGTGTCCAGGTTAAAATGCTTTGGTTTAATCAGCAGGTGCTGTCCATGCCGTTGTTTATGACCGTGTCTTTTGATTGTTCTCTTTCAGCAGAGGAAGTGGAGCGACTGGCATCGATGCGTTCTGATTCGCTGGTGCCTGGAACCCACACGCCTCCCATCCGCCGGCGGAGCAAATTTGCCACTCTGGGTCGCCTGTTTAAACCCTGGAAATGGAGGAAAAAGAAAAGTGAGAAATTCAAGCAAACCTCTGCAGGTGAGAACTGAAATTTCATTAAAAGAAAAAAAAATGTCCTTTTTTAAATTTTTAGACTTAAAAAAAAACACTATAATGCCCTTAACATTGTTTTAACTTCTAAGTTACAGAAGTGGTGTGAGAAACAGGCAAGCCCATATAATTACTCCCCCATCACTGTGCCTTACAGTGGGAATTAGATGTAATTATCATATTTGTTTATAATAGTCCTCACAAAGTCCAAATAGAACTTGTCTTATATCTACCTGAAAGTTCACCTTGAGAAATACAAAGATTAATTTACATTCATGCACCACTGCATACCTAACCCTCTCAGCTGGATTAATCAAATTACATCCTGTTCTCACTGGGACATAAATCTACCACATAGAGGCTTCCTACTGTCGAGCTGCTCCTCCCGCTGTCGCAGCAGATCAGTTCTCATTTATTTATTTTCTACCTGCTTCTCTGTATCAAAACACAGATTTTGCTTCTGATCAAACCCATATTTATACACACAGGTCAATGCTTGCTTTGCTTGCCATGTGCTTTATCTGGATGAATGTGTTTTAAGGACACTAAATAGTTGCCTTATTCAAATATAAAGCATCCCAGTACTTTGTTTGTTGTTGTTTCTTTGTTGTTGTAAATAGATTTGATTGAAAGTTACTACGTGAAAAGGACTACATGTCTGAAGAACAATAACCCCTATTGGTAGAACATGGTGCTGAAACTTAATGGTAATTTGCATATGAAGTTTCTGTCCTGGATAAAGCTGCTAAAGGAGCTACTAACTGTTTCTTTCACATAGAAAATACTCCAGAACTGGTGTGTTTCAGTGTGTATGCTCTGTATGCCAGTTCCCACTGAGCCTGGTTCTGCTTTAGGTTTTTTACTGTTGAAGGGGATTTTCCTTTCCTCTGTCGCTCTATGATTGCTTATAGTAAAAGGTTATTGCAAATACAGATTTAGCCTCCGTGCAGTCTGCTGGGTTTCCTAAGATAGAAAACCTTTAAAACAATCTGAATAATAATACGAACTTAAGTTTTTTAATAGCTACGATCAGTTGGGATGTCATTGACAACTAATCCATCAGTATGATTTTAAGTGAATTGACAGAAATGTTGTTTTTTTTATTGAAATGCCTTAATAGTTGGAGTTTTAAAGATAAACCTAATAGAATTATACCTTTTATTATATTAAAGTTTCAAATCCCATTGCATATGTTTTTTTTTTGTTTTTTTTTGGTTGGTCTGGAGTCTTTGCCTGACTTTCTGTTGTGCTACTGAAAAAAATTATTTGATTTGATGGGAATGTCAGGTTGCCATCACTGGCTGCCTTTACTAGTCATGATGGTAAAAGCTGCTGTTTTCCACAGCAGTGTAACTTTCAGCTCAAGTTCTATTTTTCATTTGGTATTTCTTCTCTTTATGTGTTTTTTTTGTGTGTGTGTGTGTGTGTGTGTGTGCTTCTTCAGTGTTAGAGAGGAAAATGTCTACTCGTCAAAGCAGAGAGGAGCTCATCAAAAAAGGAGTCCTGAAGGAGGTTTATGAAAAAGGTAAGGAGACATGTTTTAAGGTTTTTCAGAAATGAGAGTGGATGAGAGTTTTCAGATGTGTTTGTGTTTGTATAAATTAAACAAATATATATATATATATATATATATATATATATATATATATATATATATATATGGCTCGGTGAGTACCTCAGGCAGGAGAAAACCGAAAGTGAGGACAAGAAAGAGGAAGGGGAACCATCATGGAGGGACAAGCCGCTGCACGGCGTATACCACAGACAAATAGAAGAAGTGGCTGATATCAAAAAATCCTACCAGTGGCTGGAAAAGGCTGGACTGAAGGACAGCACAGAGGCACTAATCATGGCAGCACAAGAACAGGCACTCAGTACAAGATCAATAGAGGCCAGGGTCTACCACACCAGGCAGGACCCCCTATGCAGACTGTGCAAAGATGCCTCTGAAACAATACAGCACATAACAGCAGGGTGTAAAATGCAGGCAGGAAGTGCATACATGGAACGCCACAACCAGGTAGCTGTCATAGTGTACAGGAACATCTGCCATGAGTATGGGCTGGAAGTCCCAAGGTCAAAATGGAAGACACCTCCTAAGGTAGTTGAGAATGACCGAGCTAAGATCCTATGGGACTTCAAGATCCAGACTGACAAACAGGTGATGGCTAACCAACCAGACATCGTGTTGATGGACAAACAGCAGAAGAAGGCAGTAGTGATAGATGTGGCAATCCCAAGCGACAGCAACATCAAGAAGAAAGAACACGAGAAGCTTGAGAAATACCAAGGACTGAAGGAGAAGCTAGAAAAGATGTGGAAAGTGAGAGCAGCAGTGGTGCCAGTGGTAATTGGAGCACTGGGGGCTGTGACCCCCAAACTGGGAGAGTGGCTACAGCAGATTCCAGGTAAAACATCAGAGGTCTCTGTCCAGAAGAGCGCAGTCCTAGGAACAGCTAAGATACTGCGCAGAACCCTCAAACTCCCAGGCCTCTGGTAGAGGACCCGAGCTTGAGGATGACACATACCACCCCACGAGGGGTGAGAAAACAGTTTTATATATATATATATATATATATATATATATATATATTAGGGATGGGACGATTTATGAAAACCGTCAGAATCGTTCGGTTCGACTGTCTCGGTTCGGTTCGCGTGTGTTTCGTTTGGTTCATGCGCTGCTCCTTTTTCTCATAGAGGAAGCGATTACACTCCAGTGCAGAAGGTGGCGGTACTGCGACCAAAGCCAACCGCCAGTAGTAAACAAGAAGAAGAAGAAGCGAAGCAGCTTAGCCGGGTGTAGCAGGGGGAAAAAAATCAGTTGTTGTGGAGAATTGTGTCGTGGGAAAGTGGGAAAAGAGTGGGAAAGAACAGGAGTTGGAAGACGCGCCAGCAGCACTTTATAGGTCTGCTGTATGGGAGCGCTTTGCATTTAGAGTGACCTACGATGACGGCGGAAAGAAAGTTGTGGAACAGTGTGCAAGCATTGTGCAACACGTTTTGTTTATGCTAACAGCAACATGTCATGCTAACCCCGAAATCCCACATACTCCGTCAGTAACCCCCGCTGCGCTCCAGACCGGCTGCTCAAAGCAAAGCTACAGCCTCCACTGTGGCTTCGTCTGCTCCCCTCTGAGTCCCTTGGAGATGTTAGAGAGCATGCGCCAGATGATTAAATTCAAAGAAGCAAAACATACGGAAATGATCCAGGGTTTTTGCGGATCATTTAAAATAATTACAATCCATTATTTTTTGGGGGATTTTTTCATTAATTTTATAAATTTTTATGGGATTTCGGTGTAACAATCAACATGTATCGAATCGAACCGAAAACCGTGACCAGAAACCGTGAATCGAACCGAACCGTGGATTTTGTGAATCGTTCCACCCCTAATATATATATATATATATATATATATATATATATATATATATATATATATATATATATATATATATATATATATAAAATGGGTGTGTTTTTTCCCTTTAATTTGTGTGTGACTCTATATCCAGGCCTCCATTAACAATGACACACATATGTGTTTGTGTGTGTGTGTTTGTGCACTGCTGAAAACATTAAAGAAAACACTGAAATTACATGTATATATAGTTAATTACTATTAATCGTAATTAATCGGTTATTAGAATAATAGTTAATTAATTTGGTAATGGATTAATCATTAACTGGAGTAAATTCCGTAAAAGTTTAAAAAATGAGTGAGATGACTGAGAATATTCATCAGCATAACTGGAGTATAGAGACTAAAACATGCCGTTAACTGACAGAGCAACCCACTTAGAGCAGTAATTATATAAAAATTGTGTCTGTCAATATGCTCTATCCAGAACTCCTCAAGTGGAAAAGATTTAGTTTCACCTGGTTTCACTTGAAGGAACCTTTGGCTACCCTATAATAATTGATTAATTGAAGGGAACAAAAAAAAAAAAAATATATATATATATATATATATATATATATATATATATATATATATATATATATATCTGTGTGTGTGTATGCCAGTCAGGTTTCCAGTCACACTGCAAAATATCAAAATCTTGATAAGTCATTTTTTCTTAAAATAAGTGCATTTGTTCTTGAAATGAGGAGATAAAAGATACATCTTGCCAATGGAACAAGACAATTTAGATTTAAAATAGAAAACACAATTGCATTGTCTTATTTCAAGTGAATATTATCTAATTATCTTATTTTAAGAGTAAAAATACTGATTCCATTTGCAAACTATCTCATATACCTACTCAAATAAAGGGTAAATACATTTAATTTTAAAAATTTGTACTTAATTCTAGATCGTTTTTCCAGTGCATTCAGTCAGAGATGCACCAAAATGACAGAAAAGTGCATTTTCTTTGTTTGGGCGTTAGACAAATAAAACCAAAACAGCATAGGACTTTATTAAATATTTGTACTGAAATATGTAATACATAATAATTAGGCCAGCTTAAACTTTTAAAAGGAAATGATTCAACATTCAGGGCTGAAAACAGGCTTTCTCAGGATTTAGCATACTAGTTGGCCTATTTTCTGTCTGTTTCTATGTAGGTGGGACATCCTCTCCAGTTCTCAGGGAGGAGGTGAAGATGGAAAACGGGCACTCCTCAGCTCTCGGTGCAATCCCCTCTGAACCGGAAGATCCTGAGCTGATGGAAGGAGCAACAGCTGCTGTAGGTAGGAAACAAAACCTCAGCCACTGCTGCCACTTTTTGATTTGTCAGACATATTGCTCTCTTACTGATTTCTGTTGATTTTTATTCACAGCAGGATGTTTGGAGTTTCAGATGCAAAGTGAGGGTGTGTTTCGACAAAGCCAGACTCAGAACTCCAGCCCGACGCCGCAAGCAAAGGCCTCCACAGTGTTTTCCACTGATGGATCAGAATCACCGCTTTCTCGACCTCCAACTTCACACAAACAGCCACCTGCTCTTCCACCCAAACCTTTCAACAGACTTCCCAACCACATCACAGGTAAGCTCGTCTCCATTTCTGCTGCTGCTAAGTGAACCTGTATCCTTATATCTGCCCCTTCCTCCCTGTTTAACAGATGGTACCCCTGTGAAGTTGCCATGCATGTCATCCAAACTTTCTCCTCCTCTACCTCCGAAGAAGCTCCTGATATCAGTTCCTGCAGGAAGATTGGAGCCCTCTCCAGTCACATTCCAGAAATGTCCCGCCCAACCCAGCCACGCTGCGATGGGTGGACACCCGCTGCAGTATGGGGCGCTGCAGCCTGTACCCCTGCACCCCCCGAGCCGGATCATAGAGGAGCTCAATAAGACACTTGCCCTCACCATGCAGAGGTTTGAGAGGTGAGGACTTTCTGGTCATCATAATTATACAGATATGTTTAACTCAATCTCCATATGTCTCAAAAATATCAATCCAGAGATGATCTTGGGTTTTATAAACAAATTTTCTTCTCCCTTTAAAGGTACACTATGCAACCGGTGTTGATTTTCCAGTGAGGCTCCCTCCAGAGGGCGAAAGTAAAAGTGCACTGTCGTAAATATGCACAGCTGTTCTCCTGGTTTCTCCGTCAAGCCAGGCGCGGTTGTTTTGAGCTTAGCAGCGAATGACTAACGCTGCGTTCACACTGGATGTAGCTGGCGCGACAGAAGCAGCGAGTTTACATGCAAAGTCAATGGTTGACGCGCGTCAAGGCGTTGCAAAAGGTCCCGCGCACCAGGCGCAGCACGTCTGAGCAGCTGAAGCAGCGCATCGGGTGCGTTTAACGCAGGGAGAGAGACACAGCGCTGATGATCACTCCTCTTAAACAGTTTATTGATGCCTAAATTAACCGAAAATGCAGAAATCTTCCGGCAGAATATGCAGTTTGGATTATTTAGATGAAAAACACCTACCAGCTGCCGCGGTGAACCGCTGCTGATGAAGGGATCCATACTGTCGGCGCATCCCTGGTATGTGGGGGTCTGAGCGGCTCCGACAGAAAAAATATTGAAGGCAGGATAATAATCTGAATGAACTGACTGCACTGATTACGTTTTCAGGTGTATTTTCTCACTTAAACACATATTAAAACTACTTTATTCCCACTGATCACAGCAAATATAGCTGCAAGGCAGAGAAAGGATAGTGAAGCTCCGCCCAACGCGCCTCAGACACACTTTTGCACCAGAGCAGCAAAGCTGCTTCAGCCACGCGTCAGAACTAACTGGTACAAGCAGCAAAAATGAAGCAGCAGACGCGATTTTGCTGCTTTTGCTGCGTGAACGTAGCATAACTGCACAAAGATTACCACTGTGCTAGCAACGAGAATGCTTTTAAATGGGGGCGTGTAGCAGTTCTCGCCGTAAAGCAAGACTGACTCTCACGAGACTTCTGAGCCTGTGGGTGCGGGTCGGTGCTCCTGCAGTTGCAAGTGCAGTATTTCCCCCACAGACCACCAGGGCGGCCGAGAATACCTTTGTTCAACCTGAAATGACCCATTTAATCATCCAAAATGTTATGGAACACATTAATTAACTGAAAAATGTTGCATAGTGTCCCTTTAATTAAAAACTTTTGCATCTCTTGTTCCACCTTTAAAATAAATAAAAACTTGTTTGAACTCTGTAAACTTCCATTTCTTCTTATTTTACTGCAGTTCCATGATGCAAGCTGTTCCCACGATGATGATTGAGTGTGACGATGATAAAGAAAATCTCCCCAATGAGGCAGACTATGAGGAGCTGCCCGGGATGTACAGAGACGAAGAAGAGGAAGAGGAGGAGGAGGATGAAGAGGAGGAGGAAGAAGATGACGAAGAGGAAGAGGATGATGAGGAAGAAGATGATACACTGCTTACAAGTAAGCTGTTTTATTTTCCTTATATTTGGGTGTATATTCTACAAATAAACAGCATCATTCTGCAGTGTTGGACTTTTCTGTGGTGAAAAGATAAATTAAGGGCATTTGTTACCTTTCTCAGGTAAAGTAGTCTGACTGCTCAACACGTTGCATCTTAGTCTTCCCTGTCATCCTGCCATATTTGTAGTGGTGCAAAAAAAAGAAAAGCCGAGCTATAATCTGCACACCTCAAATAACCATTGAACTTAACTTCTTCTGAAGGTACGCTGGCCATGAAGGTTTTACGAAAAGATTCTCTGGCCATCAAGCTCAGTAACCGTCCATCAAAGAGGGAGCTGCAAGAGAAGAACATCCTGCCAATGCAGTCGGACCAGGAACGTCTGGAATACCGACAACAAACTGCCACCAAACTCACCAGGTGAGGATCAGACTAAAAGGGATGTTTTGCACACAGAATTTAGTTAATGTACACTGAAGAGGACGGAGATTAAAAGAGAACAGTCATAAAATAAATATAAATAGACATGAATCTCAGTGTGAGGAAAAAAGGAGTGATAGCTGGAGGATTATTGTTTTACTGCCATCTAGTGGTCCAGTTGAAGATTGCAGCCATTGTAAAAGATGACTTGATTTAGAGCAGATAAATGTAGATAAAAACCAGAGATATAAGCTCATGAGAGATGATTCTTCTTTTCTGCTTTCATTTGTCAGTGTGTTTTTTTTTTTTACACTACATAACAGGCATCACATCTTTATTTAGTTGTATTATATTCCGCAGGTAAGCCTAAAATGTTTCTTAAATCCTGACAGACTTGGATTTCGAAAACATTTTCATTTAAATAAGAAGTTAGTTCACCCAAAAGATAGAAACCTAACACCAGGGGTATTGTATTTTGAAGAAAATAAATGTTAATATATTCCCATTTTAGCAGAAAATGGCATATTAGAACTTAATTATACACGTTCCTCACTTGTTTACACTATCACTATTGTTTACACTATTAATATCAGCAAACAAGAGTTTAATTTAGCGAGAGAGCTTTAAAACAAACTGAAATATAGGATTAGTCTTTTCACAAAGACCTGATTCTTTACCATATTACTTATAAAACAATCATAGCTACTTCTTAATACGTTCACATTGTGCATTAAACAAACAGCTTCACTCCCCTTAACTGATGTGCCACTGTTACCTTGATTACCTTGATCTTTGATAATAAAAAAAAAAACTATTTTTTAAGATGTAAGCATTTTACATTTTGTCAAAGAATGTGACAAAAGTATGTATTTATATTTTCTTTTTTATTGATTATAATTTTTGGTTTGCTTTATAACAGCTTTTGGTGAATAGCGCAGTAGCAGCCTTTGTCTGCCCGCCTGCACCCATGAAGATAAAATGTAGACCTCGTTTTCTTTCTTTTCAGGCGGTTGAGTCAAAGGCCGACCGTAGAGGAGCTGGAACAAAGAAACATTCTCAAACGTGAGTTGCTTTGCAGCCACAGTGAAAGGTTATCATCTGCAGGTTTTATGATCCTCCTCATTCTGCTGTTACTTTCAGCTCGAACTGATCTGGAGGAGCAGGAGGAGAAATGGGAGATCAAGAGACATTTATCCAAAAAGGTAAGAAAGGAAAAAGTATAAATAAATAATGACTATTATTAATAATCTGTTCAATCCGATTAGATGAATATGGTTTCCTCCAGTGACTATACTCTTTTATTTTGCTTTAGAATTTTAAAAAGGAATTAATATTTTATATTTGTGTAGTTCATGCTGAGGTAGTCTTGAAAGGTTGACCTGATTAAAGTGGAAAAAAAATCAATATTTAACAATTTATTACTTAATGCCTTGTTACTTAATATCTCAGGAAGTTGATTCTTTTGTTATTCTATCTATTCAATAAAATAATTTGGGTGTTTAAAAATACTGGCCTAAAAGAGCAAAGAGAAATGTATTTCATATACACATCTCAGACCGGAGTTTTAAAAGAGTGACATGTTAAAAGAAAAAAATATCAGTACATAATATATACACTGCAAAAAATTGAAATCCAAATAAGTAATTTTTTGTTAAAATAATGAAAATTGAGGAGGTAAGTGAGACACTTACCTTGTCAATGAAACAAGACAATTTACATTTAAAATAAAAAATGGCATTGTCTTAATTCAAGTGCATATTATCTAATTATCTTACTTTAAGAGTAAAAATTAAGGGTAAATGCACATCATTTAAGACTGTTCTGCTTATTTCTAGACAGTTTTTGCAGTGTAATCAGCAGTTTTTGAGAAGCTATTTGCTGTTAGGAACAAGAAAATGACCCTCTGAGAAACAAACACAGTCAGAGGGTCAGAGGTCAACCAACTCTCATGTATTTTTACTGCTGGTGTTTCACATCAGGCCACTATAATATCTAGTTTATTTTCTCCCAATGTAAAGAAACTTTAGTCTTCTGTTTATTAAGTTTCAATTAATATGCATCCAATGCTAAACAACTGGGATGGTTAAAAGTGACATTACTTAGCTTTCTTTTTTTTCTGGACGCAGGTTTTGGGAAATATAGATAAACTGGCTGTTGTAAACCTACTAATAATAAATAATAATTGATAATTTATTGATCTCACATTGGAGAATTTCACCTCTGCATTCAACTCATCCCACTGGGGAGCAGTGGGCTGCCACTGTGGGGAGCCCGGGGAGCAGTGTGGGGTTAAGGGTCTTGCTCAGGGACCCATGTAGTGCAGCCGTGGGGATCGAACCGGATACTTGCAACCTTCTCAGAGCACAAGTGCACTGCTCTACTCTGGAAAAACGATCTAGAAATAAGTTAAACTGTCTTAAATTAAGCGTATTTACTCTTAATTTGAGTTGGTAAATGAGATATTTTGACAATGGAATGAGTATTTTTACTCTTAAAATAAGAAAATTAGATAATATGCTCTTGAAATAAGACAATCCAATGTTTTAAGAAAAAATGACTTATCTAGATTTTGATTTTCCAGTATAATCACTAGGCCAACACCTCCCCATTATAACCTGATGAACTCAAACTGTTGTCATTCGGAGGAAATGATCGCAAAATAACTTTAATCTTGCACTTAACAGCCCAAACATTAGCAGTTCAAGCATAATGACCTTTGCCTCAAGCAGAAATTACAGAGATCTAGAAAGTTATTAACAACAACTGATGGCTGAAGGATGTTGGACCGAGCAACAAGATAAAAAAAAAAAATTAGCAGTGCTTTGATTTCAGTTTGTAAAACTGATAAGACTTACTAATTGTTCTGAACGACTTTTATTAATATCGTGCGCAATAAGAGCTAATACCTGTGAGTACTCAGCATTTTTTTAATCAAACACTCAAGTAACATATTCATAATTAGAGATTGTACAAAGATTTCTTTAAAAACCATTGTCTAGAAGTGTTAATAAGTGGGTACAGTTGTGAATTTTAATTGCTTATGTCAACTCTTTAGAGGGTTGCTCCCACTGCTGGAGCATCTTTGCTTCATATCTGCTGCAGGTTATTTCAGCACATGTCTTTTTTCCTCATCATCTAGCTCAGTAGTAGACCCACAGTTGAGGAGCTGAGGGAGGCCAAGATCCTCATCCGGTTTAGCGACTATGTGGAGGTCGCTGAGGCTCAGGACTACGACAGGAGGGCAGACAAGCCATGGACTCGGCTGACAGCGGCAGATAAGGTCTGTTTAAAACGCAAAACAGAAATGAATGGGTTTTTTTTGTCACACTTCAAAACAAAGCAAATTTTAATATTAAATAAGGATGAGTAGGGATAAGTTCAAATAGTACATATCCAAATGAACCAGGTCCCATGTTAAAAAGTAAAGGCTTCCTTAATTAATCTGGTCGTTAAACCTTTAGCAGCAAACCCCTCCATTTACAATAAGTGGTTTAAGGAGTTTTTACCAACTCTTATTTCTTGAACAGTTTATCATAAAACACTAGAGGAAAATTTAACATGTTTAAAGTCACACTAGAGATGTGATCAAGGAGCTTAGTTTCAAATTGTTGGTTCTTTATTGGCCTCTGGTTGAGGTGTCGGTGTTTTCATGGAGTAAATCCTTTCTATGAGGATAGCAGCTCCTGTGAAGATTGAACACTGTTCCATGTTTTCTCCATTTGTGTCTGTTGGCTCTCATTGCGTTTTTTTGAGTCCAAAGCTCATTCTAACCCTTTCCAAACATGGATGCTAAAAATGTAATTTTTATGTATATTTTGGGCTTTGTCCTGATCATTTTGTTACACTTTGCCTTCTTTACCTTTTCAGTTGGATTCTATTAAAATCACTGTTTAATTTTACAGGTCAGGCAGTATTCAGGCATGGTTGAAATGGACTTAGCTCAGCCAAAAGGGCGGGTAATCACAAATGATTTACAATTTAACAAATAAAGGTATGGTCCAGATTGGTTTGGATAGGCTTTTTACCCATTAAACATAATCCCACCATTAGAACTAAACTTCTTTTTGTTTTTTTTATCTGAATGAATGATTAGTTTGATGATTTCAAGCCATATTTTGATTTTATAAAATGGAACCAGGAGAATAAAATATTTCACAGCACTCTATTTAATTAAACTTTGTGTTTTCCTTAGGCTGCCATCAGAAAAGAGCTGAATGAGTTTAAAAGCACAGAGATGGAGGTGCATGAGTCGAGCCACCATCTCACCAGGTATGTGAAATAAAGGAAGAGGTTCAAATGGTGGAAATAAAAACTCAAACCCCTAAATGGAGCTGCAGTGGTTGGTGCTGCAGTTTTACACCACGCATCACTTTTATCAGTTCATTGCTCACTTGATCAGCATCAAGCTGCTGACTGTGCTTAACTGGTAAAATATCAAAAGCAACCGAGCATGAAGCTTCCCATCCTCTTCCAAACTGAAATGTAATATCAGGAAACATCTTACAGCTCGGTTATGTTCTGCTTTAGGTGAGGAAGGACACCACTACTTACACTGGGATCATATATCATCAGTGCAGATAAAGCCGTAGGATTATAGTTGCACAGCAATGCTGCTCTAACTTTACAGAATGAAGCTCCTCCTTTAAAAGTGCTATAGGTCTCTGTTCTTTGAGAAGGTATTATTTTAAGACAGTATAATCCATCATTTTGGGGCATCTAAGAAACAGTTTTTCAAACTGTAGTCATATTATAGCAACCTGAGACTGCAATTTAAAATAATTGAAGTTTACCCGACTAGTATGTAGGTGCACAATACAGAATAATGCAAGCTTATTTGAACCTTTTATTGTTTTAGATCTAAAATAATCTCATTTAAATACTGCATATTTAGTTAATTAATCAGGCATAAAAACAAGGAAATTAATTTTCTTTCCTCTTTTCGTTTTTATTTTTCAAACTAAGGATTTTTACTCACCTGAAAAACATTTTATACACCACTGTTCAAAGAGCACCTGAGGTTTTCTCAGATATTTACATATAAAACCCTTAGAAATTTTTTATCAAATGCTAACAGCTTTAAAGATAATTAGAAATCAAATACTGGAAAATTAGCTAAAGTCCTCTTCTCCATTAAAAAATGAAAAAAAAAATCATCAAATAAATAAATGTAATCTAACAAAATCTTCCAACTGTTTTTAATATTCTTTTGTTGTTTCTGCATTTTTTATTTTATTTTTTTATTTTTTTCCTGCTTGATTCTGTTTTATCTTCCTGTATTTTAATCAAGTAAAGCACTTTGCATTGTCTTTGTACTGAATTGTGCTATACAAATAAATTTGCCTTGCCTTGCCTTAAAAATATAATAGGAACAGGCTTTTAAAGTCTTAGGAATCTACTTAAATTTTTTTTTTATAATCATACGGATCTGGAAGACAGTGGGCTTAATTGTTCCTGTTTCATATGTGTTACTATTAAAGAGATATTACTATTTAAAGGGCCGGATCTATCAAAGGTTTGCGTGTATAAAAACGTGAGCTATTTCACTGCGCACGCTAAAAAATGTACAAACTCATCCATCAACAGCGTGCTAAAAGAATTTGGTCTTTAAAACGTGCTAAATAGCGCCTCTTATCCATTTAGTACTTTTTCTGCAATGAATATGCAATATGGGGCGTTTACACGCAAAAGTGCGTCTTGTGGGAGGAGAACATGTAAATATATAAATTTAGCACTCGCAAAGTGATTTATTAAACCTGAAAGCAATTTTGCTAACGGTATCTGACTCTATATTTAACACGTTTCAAAAGAAGGTGCAAATGGTCTGTATGCGTAATTGCGCACACATGGCAGCGGTTATTGTCGCAAGGAGACATCGAAATGAAGCAAGGAGACGCAGAGAACGCATTTTTTCACTCCGTGTGAATATTTTTTTGCAATGAAGGAGGAAACGATCATCAAAACATTTCGTTTATCCAGCATTGGCATTTTGGAGCTGTTGGGGGAACTCCGAATGGATTTGGAGCCAGCCACAAGGAGGACCCACGCAATACCAGATATCACAAAACTCCTTGCAACATTGCACTTTTTTTGCATCTGGGATCTCCCAATCTCGTTTTTCAGAAGTGCTGTCCGACGTTTTAAATGCCATGTCGCCCGGACGCCCTAACGGAGAAACCAGACCTCATCTTTGCGCCTGTGGAGCAACATGCCAATGCTGCGGGGATGCGTTTTTTTTTTTTTACTGCAGTGAAGTAGAAATTCAGCCACATACCACCTTAGGGAATGTATATATATATATATATATTTTTTTTTTTGGAGGGGGTGGGGGTGTCACTGTAAGATTAAAATTTCTTAATATATATATATATATATATATATATATATATATATATATATATATATATATAAATAATATAGGGAATACAGAAAAAAACATTTTTAATTTCATTTCAATACTAAATTAAACATCCTAAAATAAACTAGGGAAGAGTACATTCTATTGGTCTATTTTTTGGTGGTTTGTTTTTTTAAGAAAACGATGTCAAAAACAAATGGTTGAGTTCTGTTTTAAAATGCAAAAAAGAAATTAAACTACAAACCATTTTCTAAGGAATAAGTAAGATGTTGAAAATAATTTAAATTATTAAATTAATAAGCTTTGTTCTTTTTATATCTCAACTAACAAACAGATTTTTTAAAATTTCAGGCTACCCTATCAAAAAAAATAAAAATAAAAAATCTAATAGGCATTCTGCAATATCCCCTGACATATTTATCTTAGTCCAGCTATTCCTTTACAGATCGTTAACATCAGATAGCTGGGCATCAGTATTTTAATAAGAGGCCGAAGCAGCTGGAAAAGCATCCTTTGCCATGAAGGGGTGCTGGGATGTTGGCGTCCTTTCCAGCTCTTAGGTGCTTAGTGCTGCACCACTTCAACAAATGTGAAAAAACTCCCTCCCAAACACCCACTTTACACAATAACACTTCTACACCCACACACACCCCTGTCACTACACTAATACAGGCATAATCAAAACAGCTGAAGTTCATACACAGTTACAACAGGCCCTGTTTAATGGTTGCAGTTGATATAATAATTTAAATCATGCAATTGAAATTCCTTCTTTGGTTTATGTAAAGCAAATTTCCAAAGTACATTTGGGCAACCAGTTTTTATTCATGGTTTGTGGAAAATACATTAGAAATGTGTGTGTTGCTGTTAAAAGCACAAAACCAAAAGCCCTATATACAGGGTAGCGGAAAGCACCATCAGAGGTAATTGAAGATCCACAAAATGAACCAGAAACTGTTTATTTAGGCATTTTGAACAAAAGGAGTTATACTTTTTTTCTACACTGGAAAAACGATCTAGAAAAAAGTAAACATTTCTTAAATTAAGTGTATTTATCCTTAATTTGAGTAGGCAAATGAGATGATTTGCCAATAAAATGAGTACTCTTAATCTTAAAATTAGATATTAAGATAAATTGTCTTTTCTTATTCTAAATGTAAACTGTCTTGTTCCCTTGGCATAATGTCTCTTTTACCGTCATAATTCAAAAATAAATGTACTTATTTTAGGAAGAAATTATTGATCTAGATTTGGATTTTTTTTTCCCAGTGTAGCAACTCTTTCAAAATAGAGAAGCAGATTTTAACGACAGATTTTGGCAGACCCAGGTGACTTACAGCCTAATTATGAGGGAGAACCTAGTAAGCTACAGAAGGTAAAAAGTTATTAGCAGCCTGCTGCTTTCATACATTTCATTAACAGATTGGATTTTTTTTTTTTTATTTCCCCTCTGCAGATTTCATCGGCCGTAGTCAGCACAGTTCTTCTTCTGATGTGTTTTCAGACCACGACCTGCCGTCTTCGAACTGTTGATTAGTATCAGCCTGTTTGATCCGGGCAGTGGGAGCAAACAAACATTCCACAGAGGGCGCTACAAAACCTAGAAATTAAAAACTGTTGTTTTCCCGAAGTGGGAATTTTTAATGACTTCTTGATATTCAAAAGATTTTAAACTGTCATTTTTATGATGAAAAAAAAGGAAATATTTTATTTTGCCACATGCCTGATTATTGGAAACCTGTGCAAAGCTTGAGGAAGAGAACAGTGTTGTTTTTTCTTTTTTATGATTGTTTTTGAAGTGAAAATTTTAGTCTGAAATCAGAATCAAAAACCAAAAGAAATCTTAGAATTTTTTTTTAATATATATATATATATATATATATTACAGAGATCAGTGATTTGCTGTGTCACTGTGCCTACATTTTTGTTTACAATCATTTTTGAATTTCCAATGACTATTTAAAATTGAATATTAGATATTGACACAACAATCACTGAACTCTGCTGTGTTATTGCCTTGGATAAGCCTTTTATGGGAATACAATGTGAAACCTGCCACCTTACAACTCAAACTGAATCCATGAATTTCTACTTCTGACTGTATTATTAATGATTTATTTAACTGTGTGTGTGAGTGTGTAAGAGTCAGGATTCCTGCTGTCTCTTGTATGTTCGAATCTGTCCTTAAAGGAAATACTCTCAGACTTCTGAGATGATGTAAATAAACTGAAAGGATTTTCAAATGGTCTTTTGTAAACAGAGAACCGCATGTTGATATTAATTTATTGTGAGTCCTCGATGATGTATGGCTAGACCTCTTCAAAAAATAACAATTTTGTATTTTTATAGCAGACTGGTTGATTTCCCATTTTTTGGAACCAAGCTAAAATAATTTTTTAGGTTTGAAAGAATAGGAAAACGTCCAGTCTGCTTTGAAAATAAAAAATGTTTATTTTCTGAAGAGGTCTAATGTATGGCATTTCTTAAACAAAGGAAACTTATTAAAAAATTGTAAATTTGTTTGTCTTTGTCAGTTTTTTTTCCGCATCAGTATTAAGTCCACATCCCAAAAATGTTTGCTAGCTCCTTACAGCCTTCATTCCAACTTCACTTGTCCTTCCTTTGAAGGTCTGGAATGTTCTTAGATGGGAGCTGGAACAGATTAAAAAAAAAAGTTTCTGGTATCCTTATCAAACAAGGCCACAGATGAACTTTGGCCTCAGTTCAGTAGAAGATGTGGGGGTCCTGTTGGATCCATCCAGCTACGGGGCGTGGTTTGGGTTGCCGCAGTATTTCTGCCACAAATCGATAGCCTTGGTGACAATAGCATCTGTGTTTTCCTGAGGTATCTAGAAGAGACAGATTGTCGTTTTAAATAGAGGTGAGGTAAATTTATTTTTATAGATAAAGTGTTTAATGGAAAAATAAAAGCAATTAAAAAAACGACATTTAAATGTTTAGCTAACTCTTGCATTTATCTCCCGACCTATGAGAGAAAGGTGTTTCTGTCACATTAATATCCAAAAAAACAATTATAATGTTGCACATTTCCCTTCAAAATAAAAACTTCATGTCAACCAACATGACATTTGGAAATGGCTACTTGCCTTATTTTGCTCACGTGGTCAAACAGAAAAAAATGCATTTTTTTTTATTGAAAGTTCCTAAACTCTCCGATCATCCTACATATATATATATATATTTTTATTTATACTCAGAGAATTAAAACGAAAACTAGAAACTGATTACATTTAGTCAGTGATTGGTTGGATTCTTCTTCTCAGAGTTGACATTTAGTGCTCATCCATTTTCAAAAAATCGTTTTAGCAACATTCTTAAAGATAAAGCAGCCAAACTGTTAAATGTCTAAATAAAAAGGTGCTCTCTTTTCACATTCACAGTATCAACATAATGGGAATTCTTCCAATTTATTTCTTTTTCTCAAGTCCAAACTGTTCTTAAATCATGAATCTTCATTATGAAACTACAATGAATTGTTACAGAGATTACGGTACGTTTTTGATGAAGAAAAGAGTCTTTAGATTTTCCATTTAATACCAACAGCATATATTTATTATTTTACTCACATTACACAGGAACTTAACCACTCCCTCCGGTCGGGTGTTGCCCATCAACATGATTTTATAGCTGAGCAAGATCTCCAGGGCTACAAAAACCAGGATCTTACAGGAGCCACTGATCACTTTGTCCCACACCCTTAACAAAAGAAAACATTTGAGGCGTCAGAAAGAAAATCAGGTGACAACCTTTAACATCAACAACTCTTCAGGGTTTATAAAAAGTGGTCCAGATCAACAGAGCAAAGAAAGAAGCAACTGAAAATGTTAAAGCTACAGTGTGTAACTTTTAGCGACATCTAGCGGTCAGACTGCAGTCTTCCACGACGTCCGCATCACCTACCTTCTCAAGTGATGAGGTTTGTTTACATAGATAATTTTACAGATAGTATTTCATTAGTCTGTGTAGGGTATAGATTTCATGTAGCCTTAAGATAATAAATATACCCGTTATTTTTTCTACATCGTTGTGACATTTTGGCGATCTCGCAATCACTAGTTTGTTGGCTCTGCGCTGCCGTAGCGCAAAGATGTCTGCCTCCATGTCTGTGAGACCCGCTCCTATGTAATTATAAATAACGAATTCTAAGGCAATGCAAATATTAAGGTTAAGAGGCTGAGCTCGTAGATGATGATAAAATAACATAGTTATGTATAATATATTACATTTCTGACTGTATATCCCTGTAATTATTACACACTGTAGCTTTAATTGTTTTTTATACCAGGTAAAAAAGGAATTCAAACAATAGGTGACTGTACTGACCTCTGCAGGCTGGATTCAGGCAGGCAGCCAGCAAAGCAGCGCTTGAACCACAGGCTGTAAGGCAGCTGAGGAAGAGCCCCAATGCTCCTCAGATGGACGAGCAGCCGAGGTTCCTCCTGACTCAGATAATGCTCCAAGCTCTTAGGCTGCAACGGAATAACCCCGAGAGATTAAAATAACTTAAAACTGATGCCAGTTGGTAGTCAAGATTTTTATATGCTATGTATTTTTTAAGCTAGTGATAGCATGTGACCATGCCCCATTTAAAATTATTCTAATTTGGCCAAGAAGTTTGTTCCTGATCAAAACGATTAGATTAAAATCTCTACAAAGATAATTTAAGATACACTATAATAATTTAAATTAACCCTGTAACTTGTAATTAAATGTTATAAAAGTAAAATATTATTTGAAGCATGTTTGTAAATTTAGCCTAGCCTAAACTCGGCCATCTGATCTGATTTGTGGACAAGCTTTACTGCATTTAAAACAACGATAAATCAGTGGATCACATATTTTAAACGTAGCATTTCAATTTTCAAAAACAAACTAAATATATATATAAATATACAGGTTAACAGCATTTTTCTTTTTGCTTGGAACTAACAACACTTACAAGGTGAGGAAGCGAGTCTCCAAACTTGGTGTGGAACTGATTAATGAAACACTTGATCAGCCAATAGCAGTCGATGGGATCATCAACTATCTCCTCCATGGCTCTGCTGATGGCCAAGAAGTCTTCATTCTGCTCATCCTGAAAATACAACATAGCAACACTTTGGAGAGGCAAATCAAGTGTTGCAGTCAGAATTAGCTATTAGCAAAATTATCTTTATTTACAGGCTCGACTTTTTAACATACAGTTGAAACTGGGGCTGAACGATTTTGGCTAAAAATCTAAATTGCCACCATTTTGAACCGACCATAGAACAGCAAATATGCCATTTTCAGCCCAACCAATGTTACACACCCTATTCAGAGACCTTAAGGACCAGCACCAAATACCTTATATAATCATTTACGATTTCAATCTTCTCTCCATGTTGGAGGCCATATCAGACTGACCAATAGACATTGTTCTATTCCAGCTGCAGCTTCTGTAAGGCGGCAGAGTACCGCTGCAGCAATGTTGCATTTTATTGGCTAGGGAAAGGGAGTTTTTCCTCTCCACTGTCGCTACAAGGATGCTTAGTGTGAGGGATTGTATTTGAGTCAATGAGTCAATGCAATCAGCTGTTTTTTCCTTAGATAGAAAACTTTTAATCAATTTGACTGTATGATTTGGTGAACTGTAAAATGCCTTGAGATGACATGTGTCGTAAATTGGCGCTATATAAATAAACTGAATTGAAAAAACATAAAAACCTAACCCATGGGTTGTTTAGGCATAATACACCAACTGTTTGAGAACCCTTCTGAACCTAGTCACTTCATCCCTGCTTTCAAAGGCTGAGACGATGACAGTGGCTGAAGGGCGTGAGATCCCCCGTTTTCACAGAGATTTTTCTTACATAGATGTGCAAATAGGTCAACATACACAAAAAAAACAAGCATAGCGGCCTGGATTTCAGCATAGTGGGGACATATTTCAGTATAGCAGCCCGCTACATTGAATTATGCTGCTGAGAATCCTGTATTATAACAGCACATCTCTTTTTGAGCTTCCCTAAATTACATTGTAATCTTATGCAAATGTCTGATTTAAGATATGATAAAAAAGTTATTGTGACATTTAGCACGCTGAAAGTTTTCTGGTCACCCTAATTGGTAAGCTATATAAAGAAAGCTAAAGAAAAACAACATTCTTGTGTATTTCCAACATTCTATTCATTTTAAAGTGTATGCAATCAACTAGTTATTTACTTCTTTAAATTATTAGGATAGCAGCCACTAACTTGTGAATACTGTTATATTCTAGCTTATTCCTATATAATCAACAGTGCTATATTATAACCCATTCCCATGAAATATCCAATATATCAGGTTTCCTTCTACCATTACAGGTAGAAATAGCTCCAATAAACTGGTTAATATTTTCTTGATGGTTCTTTGAAACTGCTGGCGTCAGCAGGCTATAACTCAGCATGCCACTAAAAAAGCAAAAGATATAAGTATGGAAGGAGTCGGCTTTAATTATATGAAAACTACACCACAAGTTAAACATCTTTTTAACTTTAATTCATCTTACCGGCGGTAAGATCTCAGAGCATCGTGGAAGAACTTGGCTCTCCAGCTGGAACATGCGCAGGTAGATGTGAGTGGAGGGTGTAGATGGGTTGATGTACCTCATCACAGTCAGAGCCGTCATGACATCCTGGTACTGCTCCTTCCTGTAGCCTCCAACCAAAGAGTGGGAGTCACTGTGAGGAGGGAGGATTCCTGCAGGAATATGGAGACTATTCACAATTTTATTGTGTCATATTAAGCAGCTGTAACTTCTATTGTTAGTTTTTAGACTGATTTTATCATTATATAGACATTTAGAGGTGACGCTGCAAAGTTCTTATTTTTAGAGAGGTTATTAAGCGAAACCCTTTCTAAATGAACTATAGCTATATTTTATCAATTTACCTATCATGATTAAAAGATCAACATGCTCATCAATAACTGTAGAGTTTCAGAAGCAGATCCGAGTATTTTCTCTAATTCCTCACCAGGTCCAATTCCAGAATAAATCTTAAATGTTCACAAGTGAAAAATATGTTATATTGTCTTCATTTTTTATTAGACTTAGCCTCAGACTTTTTATTTGTCATTTTGTTTACATAAGTGTAAAACAAAAAGAAATTTCGTTTGGAAATTTGAATTGAATTATTGAAGACATTTGACCCTTTCCATTTTTTATTGAATAGTTTAAAGGGCATTAGACCTCTTCAGAAATTTTTATTTTTTTTTTTTCAAAGCAGACTGGACAATTTCCCATTCTTTCAAGCCTCTCAAACTCAAAAATCATAATTTTGTTTTCAGAAAATGCTTATGCCTGCCCCAAATGCCCTCAAGTTATAATAGTTTAGATAACGAAATAATGTCATATGTTTAGGGGGAAGGGTATAGATTTTGCTATAACTTCTAAAAAATAGACTTACAAAGTTGACAATAATACCATTTAAAACTTTTCTCTTCTAGTCCATGTAAAGATATATACAGTTTGTTTTGTTTGCATATATTTGTACATTACATATTTTAAAAGAAATACCCGTAAAAAAGAAATTTTCATTTTTTTTTTTTTTTTTTTATCTTGTATTATATAAAAAAATCATAATGTAGAATTCAACTCTGATGAAAATAAAGTTATTGTTTTGTTTATACTTTGTACAAAGATATTGGTATTTTCTTTATTCATGTTGTATCCATTAAATTACATAAATCACAGATTTTGGGTTTTTATTATGAATTTTGATGCAAAGATGGCAGCAACTTCAGAACAAGGCAGAACAAAAACAACACAACTTCCAATTTGTTAATGTAAAAAGCTATACAATTTTTAATGTTTTAATCCTTGACATATTTTTTTTAATATGTAATGTACAAATATATGCAAATAAAACAAATTGTAGACTTTCTTACCTGGACTAGTAGGGATTTTTTTTTAGCTTTTCAATGGTATTATTGCCAACTTCTCTAAGTTTATTTTTTTAGAAGTTATAGAAAAATCTATACCTTACCCCCTAAAAATATGACAGTTTTTCGTTATCTAGATGGTTGTAACTTGAGGGCCTTTGGGGCAGGCATAAGCATTGTCTGAGAAATGATTATGATTTTTGAGTTTGTGAGGTTAGAAAAAAATGGGAAATTGTCCAATCTGCTATGAAAATCCAAAATTGTTATTTTTTTAAGAGGTCTAGAGGGCATTTTAAAATGGCCTTCCAGCCCCTCCTGACTATAAAACAGTTGCTTTTTTTAAAGGATTAGTGATGATGTCTTTAGCTAGTTTGTTCTTGAAGAGTGAACTGCCAAAATTCCTGCCTTTATAGAAAGATCCAGGAACTACTTTCCATCAGAAATCCTCCGGAAAAATAAAGAGACTATTTAAATCCTGTTATGAATGCATTGCTTAAAAATTAAGGTGTAGGCAGTGGCTATATTGTGCTAATAAAAAGTGTTTCTAAATAAATACAGTCTAATAAGGTGATATATCAGATTACTTTTACAGGAGGATGACATTTACAGAATTAAGTAATTGTGTAGAATGATGTGGAGTCAATTCAGACAGAAATACTTCTACCATTAGACTACGTGGCAAATATTCTTTGGCTCACACCTCTTTCATAAGAAATAATTTTCTGTGTATTTTTAATGATTTCCTAGTTTTTAACCAGGGTATAAACCTATAAGCCAAAGGAAATTAAGGTGAATTTGTGGGTGCGCTTACTTACCCAACAGCACTTTCCAAACGTGAATCCTATACATGGAGGGGAGAGGGAACCTCTGACTGAAGGTACTGAGTTTCTCTACATCTGCAAAACAATAAAACTAATCAGTTGTGTTGGTTAGGTCCATCAATTCTGGCCTATAAAACATGAATTGCCGTTCTTTATAGTTTCCATTAGTTCTGCTAATAAAGAGGATTTCAATGCAGCTTTCTAGCGTAGAATGCATCAGATATCGCTGCCAGCAGTTTGTATACAGTACTGTAAGAATCATGTCAAAGGTTAAAGAGATATGCTTTGATGTATAATGGAGTAGACAGCTTGCTATCTCTTCAGTATTTGATGTAAAACTTTTTTTTTTTAAAACACAATGTTCATTTGAACAAATAATTCAAGTAAACAGGAATCGGTTTCCACCACTTGTTGGTTTCTGCTCATCTTATACAATTGCTGTGAGCTGATGGATAAAAGATGCTTTAAGTCGGGTCCATGCATAAAAGCTAGAGGTTCGTATAATGCTCTTCTATTAGCTTTCTGATCAATGGGTAAGCACGTGAACAAATTACCCATGATTCCTTTTACCAAGGTAATGCAAGCCCCTGGGCTTTAAATCCTAGAGCTTTTAGAGGAAAGGGGGTTTATTTTGAAGTGGTGGAGACTGGCTGGGTTTTTGGCAGTGGGTGTGGCCAGTTAATACCATGAACGTGGTGGCTGTTACAGTTAAACTAGTGCACTACTGAGATCAATCATTACACAGCTGTAAATTTGGTTTTGTTGTACAAACTTAATGATTACCACTTAAACATGCATCTTTCATCCAGTTCGACAAAAAGTGATGTTACTTTTTAGTAAAAACTACCAAACCCAGTTTACGATATATGGTCTTTAACCAAGCAAAAGGAAATGTTAGAATTGCAATCAGACTGAAAATGTTTCCTACCAAGCGGGTTGTCTTTAAGAAGTATTTCCAGTGATTTCTTCTCTTCCACTCCTCTAAAGCCCATTTTTTCATAATACGCAGAGCGGAAGTTTCTCTGAGGGTCATCAGCCATGATGTAACCTACACAATCAGATGCCAAAGAACATATTTTTATTTCAGTTCAATATAAAAGAGGCAGTGAGCGGAATTCCTGGTGGTTCTCCTAGACAGGTGTCCTTGGTGACTTGTTCTGTGCAAGGAGAATTACTAAAACAAAATAAAACAACAATTTTCAAATTATTTTGTCATAAAAAAATCAGGTAACTTCCTTTCAGTATAAAGTGAGGAAAAAATAAGTATTTGAATACTCTGCTATCTTCTTTGGCTCACAGGACAGGATGGCTGCTCTGGAGTATGGAGATCAATTTGTCTCAATATTATTCAAACAAACAAAAACTTATTTCAATGAAAACAAAATAAATGGTGGTCAAAACTTTTGAAATTTTAATGACATTTCTTTGGTAATTATAGTCAAGACTTTTGAAATTTAAATTACATTTTTTTTGTAATACTATATTTTTGGGTGGGGGAAGCTTTGTCTAAAAGCTATTTCTTAAATTTAAATGACTCAATTTTTCTCACAAAGAGAAAAAGTTATTTGCAAATCATAAACTTTTATTCATGCAAGTCAGAACTGCTTTGGTTGAGATTCTCAAAACTTTGGTTTTGATGCTCCTTATCTTTGGTTGAGCTCACAGAGCTTTGAGTCCTGGGAACATGAACATCCTGGGTGGGGTCTAATAAGGAATGATGTAGGATGTTTCCCTATTGGTTAACGCTGACTAGAGCAGCAGACCGCTCCAACCTCTGAGATTAGGAACTTCCAACTTCCAGCAGAACCAGGCTCGGTGTGAGTGGCCTACTGCCAATACCAACCCTAATACCAATCCCAAGCAGGGTCATGAGGGGTGCTGGTGCCTATCTCCAACTGTCTACAGGCGGGAGGCGGGGTAAACCCTGGACAGGTCGCCAGTCTATCGCAGGGCAACACAGAGACAAACAGGAAAAACAACCATTCACGCACACACTCAAGGACAATTTAGAGAAACCAATTAACCTAACAGTCATGTTTTTGGACTGTGGGAAGAAGTCGGAGTACCCGGAGAGAACCCACTTATGCTCAGGGAGAACATGCAAACTCCATGCAGACCCAGGAATCGAAATTGCACCACTGTGCCTGGATATTGCTGTTTTGGGGTTTGTTTTAATGGTTAGGTTTAGGGTAAGAGTCATTGTTAGGCTGTAGAAATTAATGGAAGTCAATTGAAATCCCCCACAAAGATAATGAGGCAAGTTTGTGTGTGTGTGTGTGTGTGTGTGTGTGTGTACGTACCTGTCTAGCCCTCAGAGTGAGGACCATTTTTCCAATTTCACCATCAAATTGAGGACCAGTTATTGCAAAGTGAGGACATTTTGCTGGTCCTCACATGCTATTTTGCTAATGGTTAGGTTTAGGGCTAAGGTGTCAATTGGTAAGGGTTAGGGTGAGGCATGCATTGGTAATGCTTAGGTTTAGGGTTAGGGGAGAGAAAGGGTTGAAAATGACTGAAAATCAATGGTCAACACTCAAGTCAACACATGGTCCTCACTACGATGGCAGAACGAGTGTGTGTGTGTGATGAATCAGTATGCTATAAAATACAAATTTTACTTTTTACTAAAATAAGTCCACTCTTTCATGATATTCTAATTCTATAAACAGCACCTGTAAAGAACTTATTCCAATAATACCAAAAACAATTTGACAAACTATTTATTTTTTCCCCAAGAAACCTTTAAATCTGCGGTCCGGAAAGGAAACCTGTGGTCAGTTAGTGAACCAGTGATGGAGGCGCTGTGATTAATCACATGTAAACAGTTATGTGCAAAGTTAACAAATAACGATATCAAAATGACATGTGAACAGCCAGCTCATCTCACCTGGATTAAATTCACCGCGTCTCCAGTTAGTTGTTATTCTCTGAGTTTACATCGTATAATCGTTCTTCTTGGATCCGTTAGCTAGAACATCTAATATGCGATGATAAAAATATCTGAATTGTTTAGTTATACATTTTATGCCTAATGATCTATATTCAGCCAGAGGTAGTTGAAGTACCAGGTTGCGCTACTTCCGGAAGCTTTAACGCATATTAAACAACTTCCGGGTTATACTATCAAAATAAAAGCACCAAGAAAACTGTCTGTATTTAATATCGTTTCCGAATTGTTTTATGAAAAAAGTACGGAGCCCGGGGACTCAATTAGGGGAAATATATATTGAACCTGCGCATTATTAGTTTCCTCAAATATTTATTTGTGGCCGCATAGTACCCCTTTGTGCACAGAAAATACTACTTTGTGCCCACGAAATACTAATCCGTTCTCTAGAAAAACTAATTCAAACTTGTTGCAGGGCTGCCAACTTTTCACCAAACATTGGGGTGTGATTTTGAAATATTTGGTAAAGGAAACCTTTTCAGGGTAAGATGAGGACAGGTGCAGCTATAGGTTGGTTTTGGTGGCAAAATATGGATTGTTTTTATAAAACAGTAAATGTTACTGAGTAACAATAAGTGGTCTGTAGTTATGTGGAACATCTTTCTCACAATATACATTATTTTCTACATTCTGGTGATTTTTAGACAATTGAAGTAAAGCAGAATGGGCCCCACTAAAATACTTGCATCTCTTAATTATACTTTACACTAAGAATTTCACAGCTTTGTTCATTAATTATTATCTGCAGTTCAAGTAAATTAAACAATGGGGAACCAATAAGCTATTACTGGATTACTGGCACTGATACAGGAACCAGGGCAATCGAAACCTATGCAAACTACAGTGTGTATGAATATTTGGTAATAGAATAAGGATTAAAAAGCTTTATTCATTATGTTATTAGTTTTTCTTACAATTGACAAAATGGCTAAATAATTCAGACCTTCTAGGAGGCTGTAGATTTTATAAAAACTCACCATGACAGAAGACGGCACTTCTCTGGATGTTTCAGTTTGGAAGGTGTGATGGAAATTAAGTCTTTAAAAATATTCAATGGACCACAATAGAAAAAAAAATGAATATGATCAGTAATAATAAATGAAGAACATCCCTGTGGTTCCTCCTCTATGAATCCTGGATAACTGAGTTGTTCTGTACCTCCTCTCTGGATGTGGTTGGTCGCTTCTTGGGTGGCTGATCTTTTGAAAAATAAAATGCAATGGTTCTTTTTCTTTTTGTGGAGCTCATATGGGTTTGAGAGGCAAACCTGAAAGCAGTGTCTGCTGTGGGGCATGTGCTGTACCGGTCTGTTGTGGTGAAGACGGCTGAGCCAAAAAGCAAAGCTCTCCATTTACCGGTCGATCTATGTTCCTACCCTCATCTATGGTAATGACCGTAGAACCTTCAAGTTTTTCGTCAATATTTTGTGTTTTTCTTCAAAATTTTGTATTTTTCTTCAATAGCTTCCAGCTAATATGACCCATTGACTCAAAATCTGCCTGAAATTGTTCTACTAGATGGAACAGATGAGGCACAGTCATTTTTGTTTCATTTTAATAAATCATTTTATAATTTTTAATATTTTATTTTATTCAAACTCTAGTGTTTTTCTTCAAATACTTTTTTTTACTGCCAAACATATAAAAATTAGAATACTTTTTCCAACAGCATTTGGGGTGTGATCTGCCCCATCAGACAGATTTAGAGTCAGTAGGTCACATGACCTGGAAGCTATTGAAGAAGACTACATTTTGAATTTACAAAAATTCCTAAAAAATATTAAAAAAAATGAAATAAAAACTGTTTGTGCCTCATCTGTCCCATTTAGTATTATCACAAAGTATTATGCACATCTCATAGGCAGTCACAATTTGTAACAGATGGGATGTATATGTGGAGAAGATGTAGGCAGAGGAGGAGTAGAAAAAGGACATTCTCTTTTAGAGAGATCAGCTTTTAAATGGCTTGAAAAAAAATACAATGACCCAACATGACTTGGAGCCTCAAATTCCACAGAGTGACTTCTGGATCATTAACTGGAGCGGAGTTTCATCAAACCTCAAGCTGCAGAATTTTCCATCTGCAGCGGCGCTTTACGCATGCAGGGCCTTCATCATTGACAGCAGTAGTAATGTCTGGCTCTGACCTGACCAGATATAATTTGTCCTCTGTGTTACTTTGCTGCACAGGGAGCCTCAAAGCACATATTTGCACATGCTGAAGGCAAACAGTTGGCTGATGATTTATAGTCTGGATGGGTGTATATAGATTCCATTCTGCTTTGCCTTCAACCCACTAGCGATAGACTATGGGTGAAGCTTACAGGCTCACCCTTTAAAATTGTGGACCTCACTTGTTTCTGTAGATGGAAAAAAAAGGTGATTTGGGAAATTATTCTCCAGCACCAGTAGCGAGCAAAACCATAATAAGGCCACTCAGCATGTGTTTGTGGAATAAAATGTAGTCAGTGCTGCGCTGTACCAAGAATAGACATAGAGGGGAAAATGCATGACTTTAGACCCTAAAGGGCAGTTTAAAAATTAGAATGAGTATTTTGTGCCTACAACGTAGTATTTTGTGTGCAAGTTATACATATTTTTACCCCGTGTCAATTCCCAGGCTCCAATATCTCATTGTTAGAAGGGTTTGACTGACAGTGGTTACCTTGCCAGGACATAGCCCATATGTAATAATAAATTTGAAGAATGTTCAGTCATGTTTGCCTTTGTAGAATAATTGTCTGTCACATGTTTCCTTCTTTTGCTTTACTTTTACTTTATGTCAGTGCTTCACAAACTTTTTTGGGTGGGTTGCCTTTTATTTTAAATAAAGTTTCCACACCACCATCTGACCATCTTTTCAACAAAGAAAAGTTAAACATCAGTAACCCATATTGCTCATAAACTATAAACTACAGTGTCCTTTAAATCTCAAGACTCACTTGAGTCACTTTTAAAGTGTTATTTTCAGTTTAAATGCTCATTTTACAAATGTTAAAATCCCCATATTTTTTTTTTTAACTATGCCTTAAAATTGGTCATGTATTCAGTTAATTTTTTACCAACCCCCTGCAATGACCCTGAGCACCCCCACCCCAGGGGGCATGCTGGCCACTTTGGGAACCTCTGGTTTAGATCATGCAGTAGGTTTGGGTTTTGATTGCTTACTTCTGGTAACCAGCTATGGATGTGCTAATAAAAATGATGAGGAATTGCATATGTCTTTTAATCTAGTTTAAAAATGACAGTATACAAAGTTGGTTTCAAATTTACCAGAGTAAATTTAATAATTTGTGAATTATTAAATGATGAAAACAAGTTGAACAGGATATATTGTGCTAATCGGAAGACAACCATTTAAGGCAACTTGTTCAGTTAAAAAAAGAAAATAACACCAATACTTTCACCCATTTTAGTACATATTCTTGTGAAAACATAGGATTTTGAATTTTCATGAGAGAAAAGGTGGTTATAAAAATATTGAGACTGAAAAGAAAATGGCATACTATCAAACTTTGGAAAATTAATCATTTTAAAATCCAGCATGCAAACACAAATTAAGCAATAAAATGAAGAAATATTCTAAAAAATTTACCAAAATCTTTCTTTACAAACTTTAAGATGTCTGTTGGTAATACTTTTGTTTATTGTTACACAACTATTTTGTATATTTTCTTCATGTTTGTTTTATTTAAAACACTTAGAGAAGAGTAATAGCAGAGCTAAATTGTAGGACTTTTTTCTGAACACAAAGAAAATGCGTGTAAATTCCCAAACAATATTTAAAACTACTGCCAATTTGAAAAAAAAAAAAAAAAAAAAACAATTACAAAAAAACACACACAAAAAAAACAAAACAAGAGAAAGTAGATGCATGTGAAAGACTTTGCCTTTTCTGGATTTATCTGGTGGAGGAAAAGCTGGTGAAGCTAGTTAAGTACTGTGTCGAAGAGCGCCCCAGGTCCAAACTGTTTCTGCGTGATCCCCTCTGTGAGCCACTCCTGGACCCTGTCTTGGATCCTGGGGCTGAAGCAATATTATATGGACTGCTGATACCTCTAGAAGATACAGATGATGCCTGAAGCATTTTAACCCCAGTGCCCTCCTCAACTAGACAGTTATCAAGCACTTCTTTGTACGAAATTTTGAGTTTGCTTTTAGGACAGGTTAGATTTTTTGTATGTTGTTGGATGTCCTGGAGCTTTTGTGCTCCTCTTACATCTAGCCAGCCCATTTTCCTGGCATCCTCGATGCTTCTTCTACAGCCTTTTTCTGGGTCATAAAGCCCACCTGTTGCAACCTGGAACTCCAAAAATCTCTGGCCTGCTTCGTAAGGCAGCCACATTTCCTTCATGGCCTGAGCAGCTGACAACTTCCTATTCATCTTCATATCCTCATAACCAAAAAAGGCTTTCTGGGCAGGCTTGAGTTTAGTGGCCATATCATTAGTTATTATACCCATGCGGGAAGCCTCTTGGATGCTGACCCTCTTTCCATTTGAGGGATTGACAATGCCTCCAGTGCAAGCCTGTGCCTCAAGCAATCTCTGGGCTGTGATAGAATCTAGTAGACCCCGATTAAAAGCCTCGGTGATAGAAACCTTCTCTAACGTCTCTGTGTCAAAAATGGCCCCTACAGGTTCCACACCACCAACTGCTTCTAGAGGAGGTAGCAGAGTGACAGATACACTGGATACCTGCTTTAGAGAGTCTGGCATTTCTTCAAAAACCGTGGTGGATGAGGAGCTTTTTTCTATGGTTGTGATTTTTGTTGTAGTTGTTTTAGTAAAGGTAGGAGATAGTGGTCTCGATACTTGAGTTGAAGTAAAGGAGGAGGAAGACGATGGAAATGATGTTGCTTCTAAAGATGAGCTAAAAGATGCTGATGTTCCAGAAGTTGACATCTGTAATGATGATGTAACTGATGATCTGCCCGGTTGTTCTTGGGTCAAATTTGATGATGAGGAGGATGATAACGACGATGTTACAGATGATGTCTCATGTTTGGTCTTGTTACTAATGATATCTGCAAACTGAGCGATGGTGATAGCATTTGAGCGATATTGTTCCACAACAGATTGATCAATTACTTTTTTTTCAAGCAAATCGTTGATGTCAAACTGTCTTCCAGTTGATTTGTCAGTGATAACAAACCGTATGGAACCATCTGCAGCTGTGATGGCGATCTCTTCCCACTCACACTCCTGCTCTGACAGCTCCAGGTAGGTATCATAGTCGATGTACCCCTTGTTGTACGCTTCACGTACAGTCATCTCTTTATCTGTCTCTGGATCCACAATTATTACTCTCCTCTTTCTTACAGTATTCTTTTGGCTTGACTCGTTCTTCTTCTTCTTCTTGTCTATGATTGGTAACAGGACAAGCCCAGTATTCTTATCTAAGATACAGCGTTTTTTGAGTTCCAGATAGGTTAGGTTTTCTTGTGTGTTGGGGTCAAAAAAACCTTTAGTATCATCACTCTCATCAGTCAGTATCTTGTTCATTTCCTCATTGAAGTACCCTCTCTTGTAGGCAACATCCACATCAATGCGGTGACTGTGTTGGGGATCAATGATGCCTCCACTGGCAATCTGGGCCTCTAATAGACGAATGCCATGACCCCTCTCCACTAGACCATTTTCTATGGCTTGAAAAAGGGATACTATCTGTTCAGTTCCGGGTATTTTGTAACCTGTTACAGCCTTTTCTGCTGAAAGAAGTTTGTCCTTAAATTCCGGCCCAAAAAGTCCTGTTTTAGAGGCTTCTGCAACAGTCAGAAAAAGATTTTTGACAGGATCAATCATAAAACCGGATGCAGCTTGGGCTTCAAGCAGTTCTAGAGTGGTGCCACGACGCAAAATGTCATTTTTCATAGCCTGATAGATTGAAAGCACTTTATCACTGGCTTCATCGTAAACACCTGCTATGCAATTGGAACCTCCCAGATACGACCGCAAGCGGTCCTCGATATCTTGGCCTGTAAGTTTACCTGCATTCAGCTGGTCCACATCTGATTTGTTTAGCAGGTTTGCGTCAACCAGATCAATGACAGACACCTCATTTCTAAGTCCCCTTATAGTTATCTGCTGTTCAGGTTTAGGGAGAAGCAGAAGACCAGTGCTGGGATCAGATTTGCATTTTTTCTTCAGTGATACATATGTAGTTGGTTGTTGGGTATTTGGATCAAGATAACACTCAGGAGACTGATTCAATGTCTGATGCAAGTCGTCATCAATAAGGTTTCGTTTCCTTGCAATGTCTTTGGGAAGAAAGACACCAAGGCTAGGGTCCAAAATTCCACCAACAGATTCTTGAGCCTGAAGGATGCGTAGTGCAGTCTTTTTATCAATTATTCCCTTTCTCATGGCTTGGCCGGCTGACAAAAATGTGGCAGTGCCTGGATCTCGATACCCAATAGCAGCGGCTTCGGCTGCAAACAACATTGGCTCATCTTCTTTGTCTACAAGTCCTTTGGCACATGCTTCTTTTACTGTAAGTTTCTTATTTGATCTAGGGTCAATAATGTGACCCGTGGCTCCCTGGGCCAAAAGAAGCATATTGGCACTTTCAGAAGACATTATTTTCTCTTTCTTTGCCTCTGTGAAGGACATTTTTCCAAGAGGCCCAGCAGCAACACCAGCAATTGAGCCTGTCCCCTTTAAAAAGATCTTAATATCAACAGAAACATCTGAGACAGTTTTCTTCCCTTGTATTAGCTGGCCAAATGTTTTTTTGTCCAGAACTCCACAATCTAGAAGCTGTTGTGCTGTGACTGTCTTTTGTATGCCATCAAATAATAAGTTGGAGGGGTCAAACTTCTCAGATACTGGCAAAATATGCAGGCCAGTATGAGTATTTGTATTGCATTTTGCCTTCAAAGCCCCATAGCTTATGTTTTTTTCACTTTCTGGGTCAAGATAACAAGCAGGATTTTGATTTAAAGCACGAATGACTTTGTCATCTAAAAGGTTGCGCTTGATAGCTGTGTCTTTTGGTAGAAAAACACTAAGAGTGGGGTCTAGAATTCCTCCAACTGAATCCTGTGCCTGTAAGAGGCGTAACCCAGTTGTTTCATCAATGACTCCTTTTTTCATGGCTTCAAACACTGGAATTAACCTTCCTGAATATTGATCTTTATAACCAACAGCAGCATATTCAGCTGCTAAGAGTCTAGCTTGGTCTTTGAAATCCACCACTCCTTTAATACATGCCACCTCTACAGTCAATTTCTGTTCAGTTTTAGGGTCAACAATATGGCCTGTAGCAGCCTGGGCTTCCAAAAGTAAATCAGCACTGTCTTCTGATATGATCCTCTGTTTCTTAGCTTCAGTCAAGGAAATATTACCTCTGAGGCTAGAAAAAACACCAGCAATAGCCCCAGTCCCCTTTAGATTCACCTTCTTATCTTGAGATACCTCTGTAACAGTTTTTTCTCCTTTGATCAATTTTTTGAACGTTGATTGGTCGAGGACACCACATTCCAACAATTGCTGAGCAGAGACTGGCTTGCGGACGCCATCAAATATCAGTTTGGATGGATCCTTTCTCTCACCAAGTGGCAGAAGCATCAGACCAGTGTGAGGGTCTGTTTGACATTTTTTCTTTAAAGCACCATAGCTGGCATCACGCTCTGTGTCTGGATCGAGGTAACAATCAGGATTCTGGTTGAGGGCACGGCAGAGATGTTCATCCAATAGGTTTCGCTTCATGGCTGTGTCTTTAGGCAGGAAAACACTGAGGTTTGGATCAAGAATACCCCCTGCAGATTCCTGAGCCTGAAGGAAACGTACTGCAGTCTTTTTGTCAATTAATCCTTTCTTTAGAGCATCAAACACTGACAAAGGTTGTCTGGTGCGAGGATCCTTATATCCAACAGCAGCAGCTTCTGCTGCTAAGAGTTTATCCCGATCTTGTCTGTCCACCAATCCCCTTGCACAGGCCTCTTCTACTGTCAGTTTCTGATTGGAAATTGGATCGATGATGTGACCTGTGGCTGCTTGTGCTTCCAGGAGCAAATCTGCACTCTCTGAGGGAATAAGCATCTGCTTTTTGGCCTCTGATATGGTCATTTTTCCTACGGATCCCACTGTCACACCAGCAATGGATCCTGTTCCTTTTAGAAATACTTTTTTATCTGCAGAAACTTCTGGGACAGTTTTCTCCCCTTTGAGTAACTTGTTAAATGTTGGTTTGTCGAGAACACCCCATTCCAGCAATTGCTGAGCAGAGACTGGCTTGCAGACACCATCAAATATCAGTTTGGATGGATCCTTCCTCTCAGCGACTGGCAGAAGCATCAGACCAGTGTGAGGGTCTGTTTGACATTTTTTCTTTAAAGCACCATAGCTGGCATCACGCTCTGTGTCTGGATCGAGGTAACAATCAGGATTCTGGTTGAGGGCCCGGCAGAGATCTTCATCCAATAGGTTTCGCTTCATGGCTGTGTCTTTAGGCAGGAAAACACTGACGTTTGGATCAAGAATACCCCCTGCAGATTCCTGAGCCTGAAGGAAACGTACTGCAGTCTTTTTGTCAATTAATCCTTTCTTTAGAGCATCAAACACTGACAAAGGTTGTCTGGTGCGAGGATCCTTATATCCAACAGCAGCAGCTTCTGCTGCTAAGAGTTTATCTCGATCTTGTCTGTCCACCAATCCCCTTGCACAGGCCTCTTCTACTGTCAGTTTCTGATTGGAAATTGGATCGATGATGTGACCTGTGGCTGCTTGTGCTTCCAGGAGCAAATCTGCACTCTCTGAGGGAATAAACATCTGCTTTTTGGCCTCTGATATGGTCATTTTTCCTACGGATCCCACTGTCACACCAGCAATGGATCCTGTTCCTTTTAGAAATACTTTTTTATCTGCAGAAACTTCTGGGACAGTTTTCTCCCCTTTGAGTAACTTGTCAAATGTTGGTTTGTCGAGGACACCACATTCCAACAATTGCTGAGCAGAAACTGGCTTGCGGACACCATCAAATATCAGTTTGGTTGGATCCTTCCTCTCAGCAAGTGGCAGAAACATCAGACCTGTGTGAGGGTCTGTTTTGCATTTTTTCTTTAAAGCACCATAGCTGGCATCACGCTCTGTGTCTGGATCGAGGTAACAATCAGGATTCTGGTTGAGGGCACGGCAGAGATCTTCATCCAATAAGTTTTGCTTCATGGCTGTGTCTTTAGGCAGGAAAACACTCAGGTATGGATCAAGAACACCCCCTGCAGATTCCTGAGCCTGCAGCAAACGTACTGCAGTCTTTTTGTCAATTAATCCTTTCTTTAGAGCATCAAACACTGACAAAGGTTGTCTGGTGCGAGGATCCTTATATCCAACAGCAGCAGCTTCTGCTGCTAAGAGTTTATCTCGGTCTTGTCTGTCCACCAATCCCCTTGCACAGGCCTCTTCTACTGTCAGTTTCTGATTGGAAATTGGATCAATGATGTGACCTGTGGCTGCCTGTGCTTCCAGGAGCAAATCTGCACTCTCTGAGGGCATAAGCATCTGTTTCTTGGCCTCTGATATGGTCATTTTTCCTAAGGATCCCACTGTGACACCAGCAATGGATCCTGTTCCTTTTAGAAATCCTTTTTTATCTGCAGAAACTTCTGGGACAGTTTTCTCCCCTTTGAGTAACTTGTTAAATGTGGGTTTGTCGAGGACACCACATTCCAACAATTGTTGAGCCGAGACTGGCTTGCGGACGCCGTCAAATATTAGTTTGGATGGATCCTTCCTCTCAGTGACTGGCAGAAGCATCAGACCAGTGTGAGGCTCTGTTTTGCATTTTTTCTTTAAAGCACCATAGCTTGCATCACGCTCTGTGTCTGGATCAAGGTAACAATCAGGATTCTGGTTTAGGGCACGGCTGAGATCTTCATCCAATAGGTTTCGCTTCATGGCTGTTTCTTTAGGCAGGAAAACACTGAGGTTTGGATCAAGAACACCCCCTGCACATTCTTGGGCCTGAAGGAAACGTAGGCCAGTCTTTTTGTCAATTAATCCCTTTTTTAAAGCCTCAAATACGGATAACGGTATGCCTGTATGAGGATCCTTATATCCAACAGCAGCAGCTTCTGCTGCTAAGAGTTTATCTCGGTCTTGTCTGTCCACCAATCCCCTTGCACAGGCCTCTTCTACTGTCAGTTTCTGATTGGAAATTGGATCAATGATGTGACCTGTGGCTGCCTGTGCTTCCAGGAGCAAATCTGCAATCTCGGAGGGCATATGCATCTGTTTCTTGGCCTCTGATATGGTCATTTTTCCTAAGGATCCCACTGTGACACCAGCAATGGATCCTGTTCCTTTTAGAAATACTTTTTTATCTGCAGAAACTTCTGGGACAGTTTTTTCCCCTTTGAGTAACTTGTTAAATGTTGGTTTGTCAAGGACACCACATTCCAACAATTGTTTAGCAGAGACTGGCTTGCGGACACCATCAAATATCAGTTTGGATGGATCCTTCCTCTCAGCAAGTGGCAGAAGCATCAGACCAGTGTGAGGCTCTGTTTTGCATTTTTTCTTTAAAGCACCATAGCTTACATCCCGCTCTGTGTCTGGATCAAGGTAACAATCAGGATTCTGGTTGAGGGCACGGCTGAGATCTTCATCCAATAGGTTTCGCTTCATGGCTGTGTCTTTAGGCAGGAAAACACTGAGGTTTGGATCAAGAACACCCCCTGCACATTCTTGGGCCTGAAGGAAACGTAGGCCGGTCTTTTTGTCAATTAATGCCCTTTTTAAAGCCTCAAATACGGATAAAGGTTTGCCTGTATGAGGATCCTTATATCCAACAGCAGCAGCTTCTGCTGCTAAGAGTTTATCTCGGTCTTGTCTGTCCACCAATCCCCTTGCACAGGCCTCTTCTACTGTCAGTTTCTGATTGGAAATTGGATCAATGATGTGACCTGTGGCTGCCTGTGCTTCCAGGAGCAAATCTGCAATCTCGGAGGGCATATGCATCTGTTTCTTGGCCTCGGATATGGTCATTTTTCCTAATGATCCCACTGTGACACCAGCAATGGATCCTGTTCCTTTTAGAAATACTTTTTTATCTGCAGAAACTTCTGGGACAGTTTTCTCCCCTTTGAGTAACTTGTTAAATGTTGGTTTGTCGAGGACACTACATTCCAACAATTGTTTAGCAGAGACTGGCTTGCGGACACCATCAAATATCAGTTTGGATGGATCCTTCCTCTCAGAAAGTGGCAGAAGCATCAGACCAGTGTGAGGCTCTGTTTTGCATTTTTTCTTTAAAGCACCATAGCTTACATCCCGCTCTGTGTCTGGATCAAGGTAACAATCAGGATTCTGGTTGAGGGCACGGCTGAGATCTTCATCCAATAGGTTTCGCTTCATGGCTGTGTCTTTAGGCAGGAAAACACTGAGGTTTGGATCAAGAACACCCCCTGCACATTCTTGGGCCTGAAGGAAACGTAGGCCGGTCTTCTTGTCAATTAATCCTTTTTTTAATGCCTCAAATACGGATAAAGGTTTGCCTGTATGAGGATCTTTATATCCAACAGCAGCAGCTTCTGCTGCTAAGAGTTTATCTTGATCTTGTCTGTCCACCAATCCTCTTGCACAGGCCTCTTCTACTGTCAGTTTCTGATTGGAAATTGGATCTATGATGTGACCTGTGGCTGCCTGTGCTTCCAGGAGCAAATCTGCACTCTCTGAGGGAATAAGCATCTGTTTCTTGGCCTCTGAAAAAGTAAAATTTCCCAAGGATCCTGTTGTAATACCAGCGATTGATCCTGTTCCTTTTAGAAAGATCTTTTTATCTACCGAAACCTCAGCTACAGTTTTGTCCCCCTTCACTAGTTTGCTTAAAGTTGGTTTGTCAATGACCCCACAATCAAATAAGTCCTTTGCTGAAACAGGCTTTCTCACACCATCAAAGATCAGTTTAGAAGGGTCCAACTTTTCAGTGACAGGTAAAAGTAACAGACCTGTATGGGCCTCTATTTTACAACTTTTCTTCAGTGCTTGATAGCTGATGGGTTCCTCTGTTTCTGGGTCAATATAATCTTCAGGTATCTGGTCTAGAGTCTGACACATATTTTTATCTATAAGTCTGCGCTTAATAGCTGTGTCTCTCGGTAGGAATACACTAAGACCAGGGTCTAGGATTCCTCCAACTGACTCTTGAGCCTGCAGCAGTCGTAAACCATTTATATCTTCTACAAGTCCCTTCTTCATAGCCTCAAACACTGAGATTGGCTTCGATACACTAGGATCTCTATAGCCAGTTGCTGCAGCTTCTGAAGCAAGTAATCTATCTAGGTCATTTATGTCCACTATCCCTTTTGCACAAGCCTCTTCTACAGTCAACTTTTTGTTGGCCTTTGGGTCAATTATGTGACCTGTGGCAGCCTGAGCTTCTAGAAGCAAATCTGCACATTCATCTGTCAGTAGCATTTGCTTTTTTGCCTCGGTTAAAGACATTTTACGCCGACCGTTTACTATAACACCAGCTATGGGTCCAGTTCCCTTTAAGTTAACGATTATGTCTTCAGACACCTCAGGTACAGTTCTCTTTCGATATTCTAGATCTTTAAATGTTGGCTTGTCAAGAACACGACAATCAAGCAGATGCTTTGCAGTGACCGGTTTTCGAACACCATCAAATACAAGGTTAGAGGGATCCACTTTTTCAGGAACAGGGAGAAGAAGAAGACCTGTATGTGGCTCTATTTTACATTTCCGTTTCATTGCCATATAGGTCACACCTTTCTCAGTTTCTGGGTCTAGATAGAGATCCGGCCTCTGATTTAGAGCAGAACATGTGTTATCATCAACAAGATCACGCTCTGTGGCAGTGTCTCTAGGTAGAAATACACTTAGTACAGGATCCAATATTCCACCAACAGACTCCTGGGCTTGTAGCAGACGCAGAGCTGTGGTTTTGTCAATGATACCCTTTTTCATTGCCTGAAACACTGACAGTGGTTTGTTTGTGCCAGGTCCACTGTATCCTACTGCAGCAGCTTCTGCTGCAAGTAACCTTTCTCTGTCTTCTTCATCAACAACTCCTTGATTATAGGCTTCTTCCACTGTTAGCTTTTGATTGGTTCTTGGGTCAATGATGTGCCCTGTGGCAGCTTGTGCATCAAGAAGCAATTCAATGCTATCTGGTGGAAGGATGTTTTCTTTCTTGGCTTCAGTAAATGTCAGTTTACAAAGAGGCTTATTGCTAGACCCTGGACTTTTTGGACTTTCGATTATTACCCCAGCTATTGGCCCAGTGCCTTTTAATGGAACTTTTTTCTCAGCAGAAACTTCTGGAACAGTCTTATGTCCTGTCAAAAGCTGGTTATATGTTGGTTTGTCTAAAACTCTGCAGTCAAGCAATTGCTTTGCAGTGACTGGCTTGCGGACTCCATCAAATACCACAGAGGAAGCATTAAGGGTTGGAGGTTCTCTAGTGCGTTTTAGCTCAGTTTCCATGGTCTGTCTCACAGCCGTCGTGTCTTGCAGTTGTTTTTGGAGGAGCGATAGTTTACTCTTATATGTAACCTCAAGTTCTCTGAGTTCTTTCATCAACCTCTCTATTTCACTCTTTAGTGATTTCTTTTCCCTCTCAAGAACATCCTTATCTGTATCAAACTGTCTAATCAAACTTTGTTTGCCATCACATTGATCTTTCCAATAATTTAAATCTCTCTTCACCCTCTCATTCTCCTCTTGTAAGCGTTGCTTGGTGCGGAACTCGGCCTCTAAAGAAAGTTTTATGCGGTTCAGCTCTTCCTCTTGTCTTTGCATTTGCTCTCTGTCCAATTCCAACCTCTGCAATTTCTGCAACAGAATATCTCTCTCACTTACGATCTCGTTGTACTGGGACTGGAGGGACTGTATTGTTACTTTTTTCTGCAGACAAAAAGAAAAGAACAAATAAGCATTAGTTAATTCGGAAATGTTAAAGCCTTTTTAAAACATTCATTCTGTCCATTTTGTTTATAAAATCAGTCTAGCAGATGTGTCATCAACACGGCTCATCAAGAACAGCACACATAGTTGTCCAAACCAGCAGCTTAATTTAATCAGAAAAAACAAACTAGATATATGCTTTCCTTATAAGAAACCAGGCTTTCCTAGGGTTAGGGTTTTTGATTTTTTTTTACTTTATCTACTTTTACAAAGTATTATTCCTGTACCTGACCCTTTTCAGAGGATTTTTTACTTACTAAGCTAAATCTCTAAATAAAAGGCTCATAAAGGATTCCAAACTTAAAGATAAAATTTATGAAATGCAGTGGATTGTTATCGATCAACACACAACACTAATGATAGAACATAAGGCATGCACAGACAGCTAAATTGAGGTAAACAAAATAACATGACCCCCAAGAGGTGCATGTGGGTTACAAAAAGAGTCGAGTCTACGGTATGACTTAATGATTTAAGAGAAGACACCACTCGAGTATACACAAAATACAAACCCTGCATTCTCAATTTTTTACATTCTAGGTATAGGTTTCAAAAGATTCTAGTTTATCATCTTCCAAAATGCTGCAACTATGTAGATGTTGATAGACTTAGTCTAGGACCTCTACACTGTACCTCTTTCATAGTCCACGGCATCCTTGCCATTATTGCCCATGCTTACACTCTGAATGGAAGAGATTAAAACACAACTCGACTATAGAACATATGTAAAACTCCATGCACGCAGGCCAAATCAACATGCCAAGTTTTGGCAAGATTTGGATATGAAAATACAGTAAAATTTATGAAATCTGTCATGAGCCATCTGACTCCCCCAGTCAACTCAAGTATCCATTATATTTTAAATTGTTCGGAAATAATCTAAAATAAACACTTGTCAGCCAGTTGTAAACTACAATAAGGTGATCAGATTTTGACTCTCGGTGCTAATGACAGTTCTGTTTGGAGAGGCAGATTAGTCTAACCCTTTCGAAGAGTTAATGATACTGGAATGGCTGAGTGTAAAAATTTGTTTTTTCACCCCTCAACTAACCTCCTGCAACTATACAGCTCCAAAACTGAAGCAATTTCAACTGCCACCCCACATCAGCTACCCTCATCAAAAACAACACAACTTTCTCTAGCTATAACATCCCACTGTCTTCCGTATAGACATACACTGATCCGGTACCTGAATCTGATATAAGCTCCAATACTGACTAATTAGCCGGATCGAACATCGTGATTTGATACTGGAGACCCATTTCAGTGCGCTTAACATAGAACTGTTATTTCTTGCGTTTTGCAGTTATTTCTTAATAATAATAATTTTAAGAACATTTATATCTGTGTTAATTTGTTACTTTTTTTAACAATGTTAATGTAAAGGGACTCGCACATATGGAAATTCTATTTCTTTTTGAGACATAGCACTATTACTACAGCGGTTTTATCATTTAAAATAAAGTCTAAAGCAGAAAATAATGCAGTTAAATAAAAAAGGCAAACCTATGTGTGTTTTAAAAAATCCTTAGCAGTTTTTCTTAGACAGCAATATAAAAAATATAGCATAATCTGTAAAATAAAGACTAAACTAAACTGAACTAGTTAATGCTTTTCCATTGAAATACTATTCTGTAAATTTGCAAAACAGCACAAAACCAGATGTGTGCCAAACAATATGTCTGATTAGTGCTGTTTTACAGATTTGCAAAAAATATTGGATTACATGACGAGATCAACAATAATGAAGCAGAGGCAAAGAGGAGAACTGGCTAAAATGATGATCTGAAAGCACTGATCACTCAGAAAACAGAAATAAAGACCATAAGCAGGCATATTTGTACAATGTGGAGAATGGTGAATGAATATTGACATAGAGAGATACGTTTAGGTTGCATGCAAGTAAATTACATGCAATATATTTAAACACACACAGAGGTATGTGCTCAAATGGCGTCTAGCAGCGAATTTAAGGGGTTGTGCATGCAAGCAAAGGCTAAAGCTATTATATAATTCAGTGGAGAATTTAGAAAGATAAGGCTAATGGAGGAGGACTAAGGAGGCGAGCTTCCATGTACCTCTGTGACCTGCTCTTGCATTTTCTCAGCCTCCAGCTTCAGTTTCTTACTCTCAGAGGACAGTTCTGACACCAGGCTGCGGTGCTCCACATTGTTGCGCTCACTGGCTTGCAATTGTAGCTCCAGGGCAGTAATTTGTGAGGACAGCTCATCGTCTATAACTTTTTGGGATTTCAAAAGTTCTTCTTTAGCCTGTCGCACTGCCCTTAGCTCCTCCTCCATCCTCAGTCGTTCCTTGGTCTGTGTTTCTATCACCTCCTTAAGTCTCTGTGCTTCAGCAGTAATCTCATTGAGTGCCTTACTCTTCTCTTCAATAGTTTTGTAGAGACCCTCATTTCTGAGGTTTCCCTCCTTGACTTGATTCTGTTCCAGCAGAAGTTGTTGCTTTATGGTTTTCAGCTCAGCACTTAGCTGAGTACTCTGGTCTGACCAGCTTTGGCTTTGTCTCAAGACTTTCTCAAGCTCGTCTTTTAGCCGAATGCGCTCTTCTTCACCTCTCTTTTCTGAAGTGCTGGCCTGTTCTTGGCTCTGTCTCAAGGTAGCAATGGTGCTCGTATAATCTCTCAAAGTGACAGTGCTCTTTTCTAGCTCTGCTTCAGCTTTCATCCTCATGCCCACCTCTTCTTGATGTGCTCTCCTCAGATTTTCAACCTGACCTTCGAGGCTATCTCTAACACCCTGAAGGTCTTTGATGCGTCCTTGCAACCTGTTCAAGTTTTGCTCAACTCTGCTTCGCTCCTTGCTCTCACTTTCCAGCTGTAAACGTGCCTGAAGAAGCTCCTCTTCACAATCCCTTAGCTGTGTTGCAACCATGGATGAACTGCTCAGGTTGACCTCTAGGTTAGCTAAAGATTGCTCAAGCACAACTTGCCTCTCTTCTGCTATATTTTTGGATTTCAAAAGTTCTTCTTTAGCCTGTTGCACTGCCCTTAGCTCCTCCTCCATCCTCAGTCGTTTCTTGGTCTGTGTTCCTATCACCTCCTTAAGTCTCTGTGCTTCAGCAGTAATCTCATTGAGTGCCTTACTCTTCTCTTCAATAGTTTTGTAGAGACCCTCATTTCTGAGGTTTCCCTCCTTGACTTGATTCTGTTCCAGCAGAAGTTGTTGCTTTATGGTTTTCAGCTCAGCACTTAGCTGAGTACTCTGGTCTGACCAGCTTTGGCTTTGTCTCAAGACTTTCTCAAGCTCGTCTTTTAGCCGAATGCGCTCTTCTTCACCTCTCTTTTCTGAAGTGCTGGCCTGTTCTTGGCTCTGTCTCAAGGTAGCAATGGTGCTCGTATAATCTCTCAAAGTGACAGTGCTCTTTTCTAGCTCTGCTTCAGCTTTCATCCTCATGCCCACCTCTTCTTGATGTGCTCTCCTCAGATTTTCAACCTGACCTTCGAGGCTATCTCTAACACCCTGAAGGTCTTTGATGCGTCCTTGCAACCTGTTCAAGTTTTGCTCAACTCTGCTTCGCTCCTTGCTCTCACTTTCCAGCTGTAAACGTGCCTGAAGAAGCTCCTCTTCACAATCCCTTAGCTGTGTTGCAACCATGGATGAACTGCTCAGGTTGACCTCTAGGTTAGCTAAAGATTGCTCAAGCACAACTTGCCTCTCTTCTGCTATATTTTTGGATTTCAAAAGTTCTTCTTTAGCCTGTTGCACTGCCCTTAGCTCCTCCTCCATCCTCAGTCGTTTCTTGGTCTGTGTTCCTATCACCTCCTTAAGTCTCTGTGCTTCAGCAGTAATCTCATTGAGTGCCTTACTCTTCTCTTCAATAGTTTTGCAGAGACCCTCATTTCTGAGGTTTCCCTCCTTGACTTGATTCTGTTCCAGCAGAAGTTGTTGCTTTATGGTTTTCAGCTCAGCACTTAGCTGAGTATTCTGGTCAGACCAGCTTTGGCTTTGTCTCAAGATTTTCTCAAGCTCGTCTTTTAGCCGAATGCGCTCTTCTTCACCTCTCTTTTCTGAAGTGCTGGCCTGTTCTTGGCTCTGTCTCAAGGTAGCAATGGTGCTCGTATAATCTCTCAAAGTGACAGTGCTCTTTTCTAGCTCTGCTTCAGCTTTCATCCTCATGCCCACCTCTTCTTGATGTGCTCTCCTCAGATTTTCAACCTGACCTTCGAGGCTATCTCTAACTCCCTGCAGGTCTTTGATGCGTCCTTGCAACCTGTTCATGTTTTGCTCAACTCTGCTTCGCTCCTTGCTCTCTCTTTCCAGCTGTAAACGTGCCTGAAGAAGCTCCTCTTCACAATCCCTTAGCTGTGTTGCAGTCATTGATGAGCTGCTTAGGTTGACCTGTAGGTTAGCTAAAGATTGCTCGAGCACAACTTGCCCCTCTTCTGCTATTTTCCTTCTGCGTGTCTCTTCCTCTAAACTATGAGTAGCATAAACCAGTTGGTCATCCTTTTCCTGTAGGGTCTTCAATACTTCATCCAACTCCTCTCTGTACTGGTTCCTTTCCTCCTCTCTCTGTCTCATTAGTTGCTCCATTTGACTTTCCATTTCTCTTCTCTTGTGCGCATCCTCTATGAGCATAGCCCGCTGAGAGCAAGCTTCCTCCTCTACCCTCTTCTTCTGCTCCTCGGTTAGACTGTTTATAGTCCTAAGCCTCCTTAGTTCGTCTTCCAGACTCCTCCTCTCTGCCTCCATCCTGTCATACTGTATCTGGAGCTCAGCTGTATCCTCGTCCCTCTGAGCTGAAAGCCTCTGGATGTCTGTGCGACTGATATGGATCTGAGATTCGTAGCTGAGCTTTAAATTATTGATCTCCGTACTGTAATGGCTCCTTACCTTTGATATCTCTTTTTGAAGTTCCATCAACTTTGTTGATTCTTCAGTCAGCTGCCGCCGCAGCTGCTCATTCTCATGCTCCATATTTTTCAAGCTCTTGTCCACTTCTATCTTGGACCAGTTGACCGACTCCAGCTCTTTCTGCCTCTTTCCTAGCACTGACTGATACTCCTCTTGCTGCTGAGTGTAGCGCTCTTCTGCCAGCTTTGTCTTCCTTTTCTCTTCAGCAAGTAGATACTTGAGACGATCCACCTCACTGTTGAGATCAGCAAGCTGGCTCTGAGTGGAGTCTAGGCTGTCCTTAGTAGCGCTGCACTGCAGCGCAGTTGTTTGCTTCACCTCTTCAAGTGATAACAACTGCTCCTGCGACAGCGAAAGCTGCAACTTGAATTGAGCTACAGCCTCTTCCAGCGATTTGTTTTCTGCATTTCGCTCTTGCATATCCTCTCTCAGACGGCGAAGGTCATCTTCGAGCAGATTGATCTGTGTGTTGCGTATCTGCACATAGGATAGAGCATGAATTACACATAAAACATTTTAAATAGGCACCTTCTTGGATTTTTAAAATAAGGCATGCAGTTATTAATTGTGTAAGTAATCGGTCCCTAACCCTACTTTTTTCATATTCAAACTCAAGAATTTATGTTTCCTAAGGAGTTTTAGACATTGCATATTTGCAATCAAGTAACGGTCTTCAACATAGATTTAACACAGACGCACAAATAAATCATATATATATATATATATATATATATATATATATATATATATATATATATATATATATATATATATATATATATATATATATATATATATATATATATATAATTTTGTTTATTTTTTGTACAGTTTTAATCAAGTTAATCAGATATTTTCCCCAGCTCTAATATAACTGTAGAAAATTACTTCAGTACCTTAAGCTCCTCCATGTTTTTGAGCAACTGTCCAAGGAATTTGTAGTAGTCGCCAGAAATAATAAGTAGCTCCATGTAACGAGTTTGAAGGTGTATAGCCTGGAAACAAAGAAATAAATTAGAAGTGACATTGTTGGAAGAAATTAGTTGCACTTCATCATACCCCTTTTTAGACATAAGCACTATATTATACATATAAAGGCAATTATATATATAAATAATTATACAGACTGTCTGCATGTGTTAAATTTATAATCATACTAGGACTGTCAGAAAATAACATTATTCACTTTTTTTACATCTCTTTGTTCACAATGAAGTTGAATCTTATTAAATAACTACCTCTTGGTTAAGATCCATGGACGGTGATTTAAGCATTGTCCTCTTGATGGGGATGTTGAGCAGTGTTTCTAACCCAGAGGTGTAAGAATTTAGGTCTGTTTCATAGTCCTGCAAGAAACATGGACATAAGACCAGAAAACAGACTTAAATCATAAATATACCTGACGCGCTTTGCTTACCTTGATAGTATTCACACATGTCACATTATCTCTCAGCACACTGTCCACCGTCTCCCGCTTTGCCTTGATTTCTGTGTTCAGAGCCTTAAGAAACCAATAAAGCATAGACAAAACGGATGTAAATTATCTCAAGATAGCACTTATTGCAAGACCATTTAAACAAAATGAAATGCAGGGATGAACAGAGAACCTTTTGGTTGTTAATGTGATCTTGTAGTGCTTCGATGCTCTCTATCTTGGTGGCTTGCAGGGTGTCCTGTTTTCTACGTGTTGCATCAATCCATTCGGTGATAGAGGTGTTGGTTTCCTTGTAGTGCTCCAACTGAGGCAGATACATCTGCAAATCTTGCAGCCTGAGCAAGATTAATAAAACATAATCTATTAACAGGTATGCCAAATCTGTAAAACAAAATCCTTTATCGATGCTTGATTATCTGCGTCAACTGAAGGGACCATGTTCTACCTGGTGTCAATCTGTGCCTGGATCCGTCTCCAGCGGTCAGACAGCAAGCCCACCTTCTCAGTGAAATTTGAAAGCATTAGGTCACATCTATGGAAGGAGCCGCTCATTTGACTGTTCCAGTGGCTTGCTTTGGACAGCTCTGACTCCATGGAGGCCAGAAGATCTCTCCTTTGCCCCAGCTCTGCTTTCATTTTCTACATGTTAACATACCAAGATGAGGGACGTTAGAATTACAAAGTGCTGGACCTTTTGTCAGCAACATGCAGTAGTAGTTATAATTAAAGAATTAGAGGACCCAGTCAAATAACACAGCAAGTACTTTTACAGAAATAAAGGGGTTACTTTCCTGGAAATAAGAGGTTTGTTTTCAGAATCATTACGGTACTTTCTTGAACTTCATCAGGCAGGTTCAGTAATTCACGGGGAGTTTTCACTCCAGTTACTGAGTAAAATACTTGCAGGTACGTTACCTGCACTTATAGTATATATATATGCACTTTTCAGGTCTTTAGTGTGTCACTTGAGGAAGTATTTCTACAAGGTAGTTTTACAATAGAAATCACTAAACAAGGAGGTTATGTTAGTGGGAGAGTTTGTTTGTTTGTCTGCCTGTGAACAGGATAACTTGAAAAATCATAGACGGATTTTAATGAAAGACTATTGATAGGTGCGTCTCATGCCAGGGAACAATTCATCTAAATTTGGTGTAATGATCCAGATCATGTGCAGGTTTTAGCTTTAGGTTTAAGGCATTTTTTGTGCACTCTCCGAGTGCTTTTCTAGTTTTTCCACATATTTATTCCGTATTACTAGATACATTCTGTTAGTTTCTTTCATGAGTTTCTCCCTCTGCCTGTTAATCTCCTTTATAGTCTCCATCTGGTCTGTGCTCTATTTAAGCCATCAGTGTGTTTTCATTTTTTACTGGGTTCCTTTGTTTGCCGTCTGTGCTAATGCTTGGTTTTCATTTCTACTTTGTGTGATGCAGTTTATTCATACGGAGCCCTAAAGGTTAGAATTTTACACCTGAGCCCATGTCTGCAGATCGGTCCAGTCTTTTCAGATTGTCATGTCATGAAGCTTAAGGAAAGTGTCTAATAAGTTGTAGAAGAGTTACAGAAAACACCTAGTAACATCTGGTACAGTTTCAGAAACATTTCTGAAACAATTTCAGGAGTGTAACCCTAAGTTCTGTGAAAGTACAAGCTGTATTGTGCAGCATAGAACCAATAATTTTATCATAGGATTATATATAGAAATGCTTACAGTACCTTCAGGAAGTCCATGTATTCAATTACTTCAGCTGGAGAAAGAGAAGTGGTCTCTTTTTCTGTCAGTCTGGCTTCATGAACTTTAACTATGTCCTCAACTCGCTCTATGCTCTCCAGCATGTCCCTTATAGCCCGCAGCCTGCGGAGTAAAAAAAGAGAAATATCACCATTAATAAAATTTTAAAAAATAAATGCAATGCACGTTATCTATATAGAAGAATGTATTTTATGTAATATATTTTATGATTAATATTTGTGTTTAACCTTTTTATAAAATCCATCCAACCTAAGTTATGTTCCTTTAAGTTAATTATGTATTTTAAAATCTCAAACTCAAGTGCATTTAGTTATAGTAACATTATATCATATACGTAGCTGCAGCAGTCAGGCTCTACACCAAGTATTATACTGAATATTAACAAAACATAATAAATCTAACTTATATAAATGACTTCTGTGACTTAGTTTTATCCTATTATAGTTGTGAGTAGCCCTCCATCAATATTATTTGTTCACTTGAAATTTATATGCAACATTATGCGTTTATTTAGTTTTTATGAGTTAAAGCAGATATCCAATAACTGATTAATTTTTAATTCTGAAACATTGACCTTTCAGTCTGTAATATTTGTCAGTGATATTAAAAAAAAATCTGGATTCAATGTTAAACTGACCTTGAATGTAGAAAACTCTAGCATTTTTTTATAGAAAATGTTTTCAGTTTAAAAATATCATCTACTTGGTTAGAGCTTAGCTATGTTTTTTCTCAGATGCTAAAATTATAATGAAATGTTGGGTATGTTAACAAAATGCTATCACTTCAAATAATTTGCTCAGGGAGTATATTAATACGTCAAATTACTGTTTAAGGAGTCCTGATCAATTTAGTACAGATTCTGTTTGCAACAAATCTTTTAACAGTTAAAGAAATATTACTTTAGAAGTACTTTGTTGGCTCACAAATTATAAACAATTTATCATTCAAAGTCTTAAAAATCTGCTTCCTCAATTTTTTTTTTCTTACTATATGTTTCTTCTTAATCATCTGAATAATGTCATGAATGTGGGAAGAGTGTTTTCGAGGCCATGTTTTAGAAAGCAGAAGAAGTAAGAACTCAAAATAAGTTCAGGGGTAAATATCTGGATCTTCTGCTTTGTAAAACTAGATGGCTGTTATCCTGAGTCTATTCACTACTGCATGTTACTCTGTGAACTACCTAACAGGATTTGTTAAATAAACTTATCCTGCTGCACAGGCTAAGTGGATCATATTTTCTGCCTTCCATTGATGAGGGCTTTTTATTTACTCACTCTGATGGTAAATAAAAAAATAAAATAAAAAAAGAAATAAATAAATCATTTCACAAACTCTGCATCAAACTGATAACACCAAACCAAAAATACTGCATATTTACACCATATATATTAGTGCTCTGAACTTCCATATCAATGCGTTTGTTGTTTTTTTTGCACCATGTTTTTTCTCCCACACTGTTTACATCTGATCACTGCTGCACTTTATGTAATGGAAATGTTTATTTAATATCTGAAAAGCTGTACTAAACATAATTTTGTTTTATTTACACTCTGTGTATACAAAATTAGTATAAAACTTGTCTAAGTCTAAGGTTAACTCTGGACGGACCTAAATTAGAGTTTAGTTACCTTATTGACATTACCTGTACTGAATGAAAAACCCTGAACATCAAAGAATTAAATCACGTAACTCAGGACCCTGCTTTCTACTCAGACTAAGGGAAGCCGACTCTATGAAACAGTGTTCTAACATTTGAACCTCTTAACATCCACCTCATTTTGGGTAATCCTCGCCTATTTTACATACCCAAATGGAAAAACAAATAACTTAGGAACTATAAGCCCAAATTACATATGCAATACATTATTTGAAGCTTACACCCTCTAGTTTACTAATATATAAATTAAAATTGAGTGACTAGAACACAGACCAACCTGCATCAGTTCAAACATGACTAAAAGTTGTTTCTTAATTCTCGGAAATGATAGGTCTTTTTTGAACAGCAGTACTAAAGACATTCTTGAGAAAATCAGGTTTTGTTGTATTATATGTGTTCTACATCGTTTCAAGCACAAATGCAGAACATTTCAGACCTAGACCTCAGACCTAGCTATAACAGTTCCAGAGCTGTGGGGTTTTGAACTTTTGGTGTCAGCTTGGAGCTGCACGCAATGGCTCCCCCTGCTGGTAAAAAGTTTACCGGTGGAATTTTATGCATTCTGAATTATTTCCCCCACTTAAGTTCAACCTGGTTGCCGGCGACCCGGTGGGTTTTAAGAGGTTAAATACTGTATGGAATGGAAATGTTCATTTATTGTCTGAAAAGCTCCGCTTTCACATTAGTATGATTTTTGAGGAGTGCTTCTGTTGAGTACCTTAGTACGTATGCGGATGAGCTGCTCTCCAGACTGCCCAGTCTCTGGTTGATCACTCCAATTTCACTGCGGAGGAACTGTGCTTTATCTTGATCATTCATGTTCTCCAGCTCTTGCAAGATACGCTCTCTTAAACGTATATAGGCATCACGCATCGAGTCAACGTCATCCTGTACCGACTAAATCAAACAAACAAAAAAAGATTAGTTGTATGTGGGAAACAAAAGAGCTCAATCATATGTTTGGGGTTTGTTGACTGCTTTAGAATTTTATATACTTCTATAACGTTGTTGTTTTTTTTGTACCTCTAGCTGAATGATCCTTAGACCACAGTCTTGAGCCCCGTCATCTCCGAAGCAAACGTGAACATACTGACTGAGCGAACCCTCAGCAGCATCCATTCTCAGTCTGAGGGCATGCAGCTCAGCTAAGAGCTGAGATGATGAGGAAAACGCAGAGGCGGAGGAGGAGGAAGAAGTCTTCCTCTTTTGTTCTGTTTTGGTCACTTTCACCACTTCTCTCTTGATTGTGTGCTCCTTCTCAGCCGTCTCTTTCTTAACCTGCTTTTTAAGCTCTGCTTGACGCCTCTCTTCCTCCAGCCTCCTGGCCTCCTCCTCTGCTGCCGCTTGCTGCTGTTGCTCTTGTTCTCGTTGCTGCTGCTGCTGTATTTGCTGTTGCTGTAGTTGCTGTTGCTGTAAGTGCTGTTGCTGTAGTTGCTGTTGCTGTAGTTGCTGTTGCTGTAGTAGCATCAGTTGGTGTTGCTGCTGTTCTTGTTGCAGTAGCAGTACCTGGTGTTGCTGGGGTTGTTGTTGTATGAAGTACACCTGTGGTTGAACCTGATGTTCAGTAATTTGTTGAACCTCTATTTGCTCCTGATGTCCAGCTGTGGGGAAGCAAAACTTTTTTTTTTAGCTTTTAGAATTAAAGGAATATAATCTGCTCCTATTTTTCAGATAATATATTTTCAAACTTAAATATATGTTTAGTTTTCTTAAAATATGATACTTTAGCAATAGAAAAAATGATTCCAATGTACAATTACTAAAACACTCACAATATGTGGGCAGCTCCACCACCAGTTTGTCATAATGGGCCTGGGCTCCAGCAACCTGGTTCTCAATACTCCTTTTGTCCTCATCAGCAAACATCTCCGAGCCATGGCTCATAATTTTGAATTCCTCAAAGTGGGTCTCCAGCTTCTTCATGATCTGACGGTACTCCTCAGGACGCATCTTGGACAACTAAACAATAAGCACACAGAGTGACTACCAAACTAAAAAAAGAAAGCATAAAAAAACTCCCTTTAATGCAACTTCAAGTGCAACCTAGTCTTGTTACTATTACGCTATGTCATGTTGAAGATGAAAACATTTTGTTAACTTAATATTAAATATTCCCACAGCTTACCATCGAGACGGTGAGAGAGTTGACGTAATTGATATCCATGAGGCAATAGTGCCAGGCAATGAGACTCTTAACATTGATGTACAGCTGATTCCAGAGGGACATGATGGCCTCGTAATACTGCTCATTCCTTCCCAAACACAAATACGTCAGTAAACTCTGAACAATTCGTGAAACTATGTTGGAAATGTTGTGTTGGTGCAGATTGTTCTTGTCTTACTTGTTGGCGAGGCTGATGCTCAGTGGATTAGGAGGCGGTACAATCAGACACACAGAAGGTATCAACATATCGATCCCTCCCGGGCCGGTTACACTCCATTTACTGCGCTGACTGTTGTCTTTCAGGATGGCCTCGTTGTCTTTTCGGATCACCTTCTGCAGGGACAAAAGAAAATATATATTCTTAATAACAATAATAAGACAGTTATTTAAACTTTTGGTCCATAGAACCCCTGTTTTTTTGTGTATTCTATATTATAGAAGTGACCTGGTCTTGTTTAAAGTCAGTCAGAGCCTTGACGATGATGCCACTGCTGCTCTTTTCCTGCGGGTTTCGAGGTTTCAACCTCACAATCGTCTTTGACTTGGCAGTCAGGTGTTGAACCTGCCGCTTTAAGTCTGTGATATTCTCCTTTTCCCTCTAGAAAAAAAGAGAATTACAAATCATTTACATCAGTTTTGAGCTACTAGATAATTCCCTTTCCAATGAGATTTCTTTAATCTCCTAAATGGTAAACTGCAAATCCTTTCGTTTTCTTTCTATTTTTACAAAAATACAACAGAAAATATACGCACCTCCAGGCCTTTAAGGAGCTCCTTTAGATCCTCCATCGAAGTGTCCTTGTTACAAGTGAATGTCTTTCGGATTATCTCATGTTGGTTTTGCAAAGCTTTGTGCGTATCATTAGCCTCTCTGAAGAACTATCAAAGAAAATAACATTAGATAAGCTTCATGAAAACACAGTCTATGATAAATAAATTAAAGAAAACAAAAGAGGATTTTTATTATCAGTAATCACAACTGAGATTTTCATTGCCAGGATAAAAGTAAAATAGCAAAACAAGGATTTGGAGCTAAATTCCGTTTTGCCACAGAAATGAAAAATGTTGTTTTTGTTATTGGCCATAGAACAAAACTTAAAAAATTTTGAGTTTTGTTTTTTATTGTTGTAAATAATGTAACAGTCATGTTTTTCTTTTTTTTTATTAAATGGGTTCATAGTGATCTTTACATTTTTAATCTTAATTTCAAATATATATATATATATATTTTTAACAACAGTAATATTATTTAGTAACTGGAGCAACTTGAGGTTTAAAGGAATAGTACACCCAAAACATGATTAGCCTTCATTTTCTACTCACCTCCATGCTGAACAACACTCTGGAGTACTTTTTTGATATCTCAAATGCATCTGGAGATCTGGGAGGCTTCTTGCTGTCTGCTGACATTCAAATAATGGAGGTCCATGGCGCCCGAGACAGAAAGGTCCATAAAAGTCCACAAAAACGTGTCAATATTCCTCCATACTGCTCGTCCAATGTAATCCAAGTGTCCTGAGTGGGTAGCATCCAGAATTTACTCGAAACGAAGTCATTTAGAATGTTTTTAGAGCATAAACAGTAGTGTATAGGATTTCCTAATAGCGCCCCCATGCGCGCTCACGATTCTACGGAAGCCGGCAGACCAAACCAGCGCATTCAGCTCGGCAAAGAACTCATGCTCTTCCTCAACACTGAAGTCCTCAGACATTTTTCTTTCGTTGTTTCTTTCTTTGCACAGGTAAACAGCACATTTCTTCTTCTACGCTTGCATTATCGGCAGACCAGACGCTGAATGCGCACTTTCTTCCGGTTTGGTCTGCCGGCTTCCGTAGAATCGTGAGCGCGCATGGGGGCGCTATTAGGAAATCCTATACACTACTGTTTATGCTCTAAAAACATTCTAAATGACTTCGTTTCGAGTAAATTCTGGATGCTACCCACTCAGGACACTTGGATTACATTGGACGAGCAGTATGGAGGAATATTGACACGTTTTTGTGGACTTTTATGGACCTTTCTGTCTCGGGCGCCATGGACCTCCATTATTTGAATGTCAGCAGACAGCAAGAAGCCTCCCAGATCTCCAGATGCATTTGAGATATCAAAAAAGTACTCCAGAGTGTTGTTCAGCATGGAGGTGAGTAGAAAATGAAGGCTAATCATGTTTTGGGTGTACTATTCCTTTAAAATCAGGCTTCTTTTATCACCCCTGAGCCGTCACGGTTGTTCATCATGGAGCCAAGCTATGTAATGAGAGTAAAATGCTGTTGTTCATTATAAAGCGGATTGCTGCTGTCATGGTGTTTTTCAGCAAGGTGGTCTACCACAACCTGTCAACCCAGTGGTACAGATCCAGAAACCCTCCAAAGAAAGGCATCTATAAGGCAGCCTGATCAGATGCACAAATAGAACTCCTTCTGATGCTGATGAAATAGTTCAAGCCTTGCCTAACTAAAGGAGGACTTCCCGTTTTATAATTTCTCTCCAGTGAATCATATTTTTGATAAAAAAATGGATTTTGTCAGTACTTTAGGGCTGCAACTGATGAATATTTTGCAAATAGTGAATTAGTTGGCGATTATCTCAATGATAGATCAATCACGATGAATCCGATTAAATGTTTCACCCTTAAACTACATGTAAGAGCTGTAGCCGGGCTGGCAAATCACACAGTTTTCCTCTACAAAGCACATCTGAGCAGTGCCCACATTGCTTTAAACAAAGTCATAACCTATATGTCTGTCTACCAGTCCACCCCCACATAACTAGCAAAAGACAAAATCACAAAGAAACTTCAAATTCTCTGCTTGATGCAGAGATTGAATGTCCCTCAAAGGGAACAATGCAGCTTCTTCTTGTTGATAGCCCTGAGCTTAAGCACATTAGGAATATGGTGATCTGCTGAGTCAATTGATGGATGTCAGGTGACACTTTTGAAACATAGATGGGTTGTAGTGAAATGAACAGACAAAACCTAAGTATATTACAATCCTGAATAGATCAGTGTTTAAAAGAATGGTTGTAGGATTAAAACGAGGAATTTTTAACACACATCACACTGCATATTATTGCCTTTTCTAAAGCGAACTCTCATACAGTTCATACACAGGATGATACAAAACAGGGCACAGTATTTAGCTGCACTAAGCAAAACAATGTCTAAATATTTAGGAAGAGAAAAATACCAAAAATCTACAACTATGCAGTAAAAGTAACAGAGAACCTTAATGAAAGAAAATACCAAACGTTTTCTGGAACAGTGAAGTGCATCTTCATTTATAATTTGATTTTTGCGTTTACCAGGACTAAGATCCACCATGGTAAAACAATCTGACAGTATAGATACTGATTTCTCTGCATAAATGCATTAAGCCATATTAACAAACTAACAACAATTAGTATTTGCCTTATGAAGCATTTACTTTCAGTATTTTAGTTGAAAATGTTATATTTCAGGCAGCTGAATCATCACTGATCACAGAGGTCAGCAGTGACTAAAACTGTACAGTCTTCACTTACTCCAAGACAGTAAGTTTAAAGGTGCCGCAGCAGTGGAACATGTCTGATTTACCTGGCAGTAAGCTGCGTTCTCCTTCAGGTGAGTTTCAATGCACATTGTAATTTGAAGAAGCCAGCTCCACTGAGTCTGCAAAGTGTCCATGTAAGCCTGGCAGAAAATATATTTTAACATTTTAAATACAATTTATTGCTGTATAGATGCAAAAAATGTTGTCAATTTCAAAATAAGTGTCATCTCCAGACCTCAATCTTATCAGAGGCAGGGTGGGCTTTTTTCAAAAGTGTTTTTGCTTTAGTCTGAAGTTTATGCAGATCCTTCTCTTTGGTCTCCAGGGCACTCATAAGTTGCTGTTAGATGAGAAGAAGAATTATAGTCATAAAGCATACCAAGATGCTGCATCAGGAGAAGCTCCGTGGTTCCTCTACAAGCAGAGGATAAATGATGGCAGCTGACAAAATCATATCTGTGGAAAACTTTTATAGCCATTAAATACAACACAAGTGATTTAGGCTCTTAGAATTTTTCCAAGAATGTTAATTGACTGAAATTTCTTTGGCCCTGAAACAAAAATGTTGCTGTATTTGGTTTCACTGACCGAGTAGCTCTCCTGCTTCGTAGGGATGTATTTTTCTATGTTCCTGTCGCTCCAGTCGAACATCAGCTCCTCCTCCTCCTTTTCGTTTACCCACATGATCTCTTTGGATATTTCCTCGAGAAACAGAATCGTCTCTCGCAGCTGCTCGGTTTGTAAATTGGACATTTTCTAAAACAAAAGGAGATAGTGAGGTGATCCAAAAAATATGACAAAATTCAGCAAAAAGATTCACACATCAGAGGGTAATAATGATATGTTAGTTTCTTTAACCTGTAAAGAGTCCCACTCCTGTTCCAGGGCATACTTGTTGGGTTTGTCTCCCAATTTTCTCTGAGGAGAAGATGATAAAACATTTAAAATGTCTTAAAACCATTTTAAGGAAAAAAATGCTTACTGGAGGGAGCATGAGGGAAATTTTAAAAAAGGTATTCCTTCTCTGAATTTTTTGAAGTTTTGAAGTTATAATATAGTCTGTATATAGCATATATGGTATGATATTATAGATATAAATTCCAGACAGACAGACGGAAGACTAAACCCACCATTTCATCAATTGCTCGTTGCACCTCAGGGGACCGCTGGATCGAGGAGTGAAACCTCTGGTGATTGATAAGCTGCTGCTCTAGGCCCCCAGGGTCGTCTGCCCAGGCAGTTGTTTCAATTAACCGCTGGAATAATACAAACATTTATATAATTACACAATCAGGCTTTAAATAAAGTCAAATGATATATTTCTTAGGAAAATCCCCATAAAAGTCTCACTGAATGGATAATTTCCTGAGGCTGGAAAACCTCTGAACAGGGAGACTTTTTCAAATATGCTTTTAAATTATCCAAAGAGTCTTTTGATAATTAATCTAAACAACAAATTTTCCAAGTAATTAATCTGCTGGCAGCTTTATATTAACTGCTAAACACGAAAAATAAAATGTCCAGTTGATTAATCCAAATAGAACATTTCTGAAGCAAAAAAAGATTAAAGTTTCTTTTTGTTAGTCATGAAGCTAAATGACAACTTGTCACCATGATCTCTGAAAACAGTAGGGGTGAGTATTGGTCAGTGTGCTGCCATACGATACGTCTCACGAAACTTGGGTCACCATACGATACTATCCAGATATTGCAATATTTTACCCAGCTATCAAAATGAAATTTATAGATAAAAAAGCAAAAGCTAATATATTCATCAAAATCCGTGTTCTTTGGGGTTAGAGTCAGTCCACGTCTTCCACTGCGACTGCCTCAAGGGCTCCACGCCGCTATAGAGCGGCGCTGCAGAGGTAGCCCATTTTCCCTCATTGTTTTAGGTTAAAATATTATTTTTCTTTAATCTATATTAGGATCTGAAAGATTGATATTATATTGGGCAGCCAAAAATCACAATATATCGCCAAATCGAATATTTACCACAACCCTAGAAAACAGTAAGCAGTCACAAACTTTTAACCAACATGGACTTTCTGGTGTAATAAGTGATTAGGGAAGCAGCATGATGTACTGACATAATACAAACAGAGCAGTAGGGTCTGCAGTGGGCAAAGAGAGCAGATACAACGTTGACAACGGGCTTACTGACAAAATTTTTGTTTTCCTTTGTCTTAAAGACTAGTATAATCCTAATGTAAATGTCTGTAAACAACCCAGCTACAGAGACACAAGCTTAATGCAAGTTTATTTTAGGTACACCAGACTAGATTACAAGCAGAAGGGTTTTTTCTTGGAGATGTGTCTTTAAAGCTGAGCTTTAAATGAGTTCTGGGGACCAAGCACTTAAATCATAGCCTACAGAAATACCAGTATGCAGCATTTCTTTCATTCTTATGCTTTTTACTAATTTTTTGATGTGTAAAAACAATTTTTCTCAGAAAAAGAGTATGTAAAGTTCATAGCATCTGCTATAGGTCAGCACAAATTCTATAAAAGAAAAACAAATCTATGATGATTTAACTGTTAAGTAGTTGACTGTAATCCTGAAAGAGTAATAAAACAAGACTGTTTTGTGGCTTTAATTGGGATTTTCTATTTGAGAACATCTTAACTCCTACTTGATGCAGGAGACTTGGGTTGGGTTTGAGGTTTCGGTTTTTATTGTGTCATGCAGCTTAATGTGTGTTTGAGTTTGTTCCTGCCTTTTGCTGAGCGATCCAAGCCATAGCATCATTATAGCTCCTTGCTGATTCTTCCCAGCCTCCAGAGCTCTTTCTCCTGCTCATGCTCATGCTCTTCCTCCTCTGCATGGTGCCCGACATGACCATGTGGACCTCCTTCAGCTGATCAGTGTAGAGGTCCACACTGCAAATAGAGGAGAAAGCAACAATGCATTTTGGGTTAGGCTTTAGGAAATCTTATCAGAACATGGCAGAGGTGATTAAAGGGAAAGCAGTTTTACTTTCTCATTAGACCGTCAAAGGGTTGCCCCATTTGACGCAACTCTAGGGCGAAGTATTTTAACTTCTCGATGGCCTCTCTGGCCAATTCCATATAGTGCTCAGCATCACCCGAGCCCTGCAAGACAAGTACAAAAAATAAGTTCAGGTTGGAAAATGTCTTCTTTTACTAGAACAAATCCAATATTTAAAAGAAGCAATCTCTGGCTGACAATTTGCAATCACTGACACAAGACTAAGAAAACATTGCAGCTATTTTTAAAAGCTGAACGGCTACTGATGAGCTTTTTCGTTAGGCAGCTCAAGTAGAGAGAGAAAAAAAGCCTAATTTTCTATGTGGTTTCTGTTGTAAATCTCCCCTTTAAACCACAGCATTTCTCTCATTTTTTCCCCAACCAACAGAGGACAAGCTGCAACTACACACTCCCTCAAATCACATGTTAAACCCTCTAAAAAGCTGAAATTCACTATGACGCATCTGCGTCCGATAAGAAAAAAATAAAATTTTAGAGCATAAAAATCACCACTCACAGCCTGAATGGCGAACTCGGCCTTCTTCAGGTACTCATTGCAGAGAATCTGCTGCTGTGTGGCTCTGTTGGCGATGGACACGGTGGGGCTGCAGGGGGCAGCAAAAGAAAGCGTCACACCACAATGTCACCATTAAGACCAATCTACAAAATCCTGCTCTAATAAAAATAAAACACATGAATTCCTCCGCAAAGTATTCCAGTACTTTTATTGGCCAGAGAAAAACTTAAATTGTCCAGTTTAAAACTGCATCTAATCATATTCATATTTCAAAACAGCTAGTTAGTATTTAATGTTAATTTTTCCCTGACTTAATAATATTTTCTAAATAAAAAATGACAAAAGAAGACTGAATCATGATCTGTCACTGACTGAATAGATGGTTCAGTGATGAATATCCATTAAAGTGGTTAAAACTCGCTATATTCAATAGAAAAACATTGTTTTAGGGTTAAAATAATGTTTTATTTTGCATGAGAAAATATTCAAAGCTCTACAATTAGTCTTAGGAGATAATACCATTATTAATTTCCCCTGACATATTTACGAATGTCCTCTATGAATTGTATCCACATGTTTTTATCAATAGGCTCTATACACAACTCCACCACTTCCTGAACTTCAGGAGGCTCCTTTGCTTCCTGTCTTTCATGATTGGATGCACTAATTAATCCAGGTGTGTATGACCTAAGTAACTGGCCAGACACACCTGGATTAATCACTTCGTCCAGTAATGAAAGACAGGAAACAAAGGAGCTGCCTTAAATTCAGGAAGTAGTGGAGCTGTGCATAGAGCCCATTAATTGGAGTCCTGACTTGAATCTGAAAGGAAAGCTGGGAGCTAAGCATTAGGGTGATGGCAAAGAGGCCTCCCAACGTTAACGAGTAGAAGCTCATCAACAAATACATAGAACTTCAAAATATGAGTGAAAACAGTGCGAAAGGCGGAACAGGACATATAAAAAAGGTTAGGTAAATTATACAATGATTATTGAAAGGATTATAAAGCATTTCTCAAATTCCAATTTCTAAAACAGTATAAATAAATGAAATTTTTTTCTTCAAATTTTACACTTTTTTTTCCTACTAAACTATTTTGTTCTTGAAAGTATGCTTGTCTCATGTCCTGTCAAAATTCGGTTTCTAGTTTCAAAGAAATATTTTAAAATCATAATCCTACAGGACCTCTAACAACCTTATAGCCTTATATCATTTCCTCTATGCTCAAAATTTGCTACTAAAAGCTGCCACACCTTTTAACATGTTTAAGGTGGTTTGCTCAACATCTCCCCCATACTTTCTAAAAATAAAAAGGTTTTGCAGCTCTTTCACTCCTTTTTTCAGCTCAGCGTATGACAAATCTTTAAGATATTTTTTTCTATTTATTTGCACACGCATATACAGAACTTCATTCTAACCTATAAATCTTAAAGGTTGTGATTCAACTAAACCTTCCCCAGTTTATACCCAACAATTACAAGGCCATATAACTCATATGTTAATGCATATGACATAACTATTACATGACTATGTGTGTAATTGCATATAGATTTGTTTCTCTTATTAGGTAAATATTTTTAATTATATAACAAAATAAATCACAAATTAAATTCCCAACCTGATGATAAATAAATGATTTATATTTATTTATGGAGGTTTTATATAATCTCATATTTGTAATGATAGTTATCCTTAATCCCAGCTCAGTGAGGTGATTATTAAGTAAAAGAGAATATGGCTGCTAATCAAACCTACAGCAACTCCCTTTAGGATTAATAAAGTATTTTTGAGTTGGATTTTATTCAGTTAATATCAAAATAACAAGGACGGTGTCCCAGAGAAGATATTTCAATATATAACTTAGAAGACAATAGAAAAAAAGCACTATGCAAATCCTCTTCAAGGGTGGTATGAAACCAGTTGTGCAAAAATACCAAATGTTATGCAAAAATGTAAGCGTAATACTGAAGTACATGATTTTATGCTTTTAATCTGCTAAAGTAGAGCAGCATTGAAAATACAACCTAACCAGGCCCTAAAACAAGACGTGAGAGATGAATCATGGAAAGCTTTTATCCATCAAATAAGTGGTTATTCATTTATTCACATACAGGTGAGTGTTAAGAATCTGTATCAGAGTGATAAAAGCTGAATTTAAATGTCTGTAGACAACAAGAAGGACAACTGACCGAGCCAATGTTTTTATAGTAGCTCGGACATATACGGCCTCACCTTAATAGATTAAAAAAGGAGCCAAAATAATCTGGTAGCAAACATTTGAGTGAGAAACCAGTTTCTTTGCATTTCCTCACAACGCATTTAGAAAAATAAGAAAGTTGAACTGCATCAGAACAGATGCAGAAATCATTCGTTTAGCAAACAGCTTTTTGGTTACATTCAAACATATGTATGCTATCATAACTTAGATAAGTAACATGCCAGTGGTTTCATATGTATAAAGCCATAACTTCTCACAACACAATATAATTTTAAATGCATTTTACCTGTCTTTACTTAAAACATTGACATGCTATTTATTTAAATAATGCTTAGATTGTTTAGAAGAAGGGACAGGGCAGACTGTACGTCCTAAGGAGAATCAATGTTTGCAGCAAAGGCTTCATATATTATATAAGTTTGTTGTGGAGAGTGTGATCTCTTCTGGCATCATCTGCACGGCTAACAGCATCAGAGCAAATGACTTAAAGAAGCTCAACAAGCTGATAAAGGAGGTCGGCTCTGCTCTAGGACTTCCTCTAGAACCTCTGAAGATCATTTCACAAAGAATTCTTTATAAAGAGAAGAACATGGAATTTACTTTTACTTTTAGATCAATAAAGCATGTTTTATTGAATTGTGTAAATAATCTTAAAAACTAAAAGCTTAATGGGAACTTTGCATCAGAAACTGAATATACAATACATTTACTAAAGAAAGCTTTCTTGTATATTCGAAACTCTAAGCATTTTTCTTAAAGCAGAGCAGTGGCTTATTTCCTGTCTTTGTGAGGCTGTTTGGAGCGAATGACACAGAATGGCCTGGAATGAAGATTGCTGAAGATGTTGCAACAGAGCAAGCACAAAAGTTCAGGGTGGATCATAAATCATGTGTCCCCAGAGGCAAGAGGAGCTGCTGTACACAGCACATCTAATATCCATCATATTTAAGGGGAATTAAATGTTTATAGCTGCAGATGTGTTTCATTTTGAGGGTGTGGGACTCATTATGCAGATTAGGACATATGAGAACCCCCTGATTAGCAGCATTGCTGGCATTGAAAGAACTTTTAAATTGGATTTTGCAAATACTTTATTTCATTTTAGAAGTAAAACATCACAAATATGGATGAAATGATTTGCTTTGCTTCTGCACAGATACTTTTTTCTGTTCAGGGTTTATCACAGCAACAGTGGGTACAGAAATAAAGGAGACTTTATAATAAATATTTCATGCAGTCTAGCTTTCTGAATTACAAAATACAAATATTGCACCTGCTTCCGCCATTGGAGCTGCTCCCCATGCCGCTACTCATCATCATCATCCCCCCCTTCGTTGTCATCGACCTCGAAAGTGACTTGGTTTTGTATCCCTCGCCAAATTCGTATCCATAACCGCCTCCGTGGCCCGCGTCGCTCCGTGCGTAATGGTAGGTCCCCCCGCCGCCAAGGTCAGGGAGTTGGCCCTTGGAGCTGGCCCTCCGGCCTGAGTTGAGCATCTGCTGGGACCCGTACGTGCTCATTGTGACCGAGAAACGGCTGCCAGGGAGCCGGTTGCAGCAGACAGTCGCGTCTCCTCCAACTGTCCTCCTCCGGTCCCTCTGCTGAACAGTGAGGGTGAGAGGCGCGCAGGGAAGGAGACTTTTAGGAGGTGAAGGGCCACACCTCTGAGTCTCCACTCTCTCCAAAAGTTTTCATCTGTGCTGCCACGCCCTTTAAAAATCAGCTGGAGGCAGAAATGTGGGTGTGTTTCATTCCTATCACTGTTGGAGCTACTTTGACTATCAGAGTTATGATGAAAGGAACTCATCTTCTAAATTGAGCTGTTCAGAAAAGATGACTTTAACCAAAGAATAGAAAATGTGGAAGCTTGTGTACGTTTGTAACATTACAGATACATGCTTTCCAAAAGTAGTTGGAAAAAAAGACAATTTATGGGCTAATCTTGAAATCTACAGTCAAGGGCGGAGCTAGATGAGGGGGCAGGGGTGGCCCTACCATTTTTTTCCCCTTTTAATACAGATGGTGGCAGCAGTAATACTCTCAAGTGGAATATTCAAAACATTTTATTTTTTTGTGGTTAATTATACACATCAATATACTAACATCATAGATGATAAGTACAGAACTCATGCTCTATTCAGAACTAGATTTTGTGTTATATGGGGTAAAGAGAAAATTATGTGTCTCTGCAAGTCAGCTAGGAGTTTTCCGTGAAATCAAAGATAAACAACAATTTTAAATAAAACTTCTCAAATAATCAATTTATGTGCTTGTAAATATCAATTTTATGCAGAATGTTTTTGATACAAGTAGGTAAGTAATGACAATGGAAAAGATTTATGCCCCAGAACCCAAAGCTGAGTTTTATCCTATAATTTGGCTGTGACTCCATCAGATGTACAGTATCTGAACAAACTAAAAAAAATGCAGGTATACGTTAGTAAAACCATCCACACTCCTTCTTCCCTTCATGGCTTGAGTTAGGCAGCCTTGTGGCTTCTGATAGTTTTCTTTCGGCACGTATCTCCTGTTTCCCATTCTCCGTAAAGACAAGGTTTGTGGACTGCATCTAATAATATTGTCCTCTTAACAGATTTTCATGAGCTGTGGATCACTGCAGCTCCTTCAGAGTCACCTTTGGCCCCTTCTTGGCTGCTGCTCCAATTAAAACTCTTCTTTTTAGGCATGCAGATTAAGGTGGTAAAGCCATGTTTAGGTCTGCAGCTGTGCAAACCTCCTTTCATTTTGGGATTATTGATTTAGGAGAGAGTGTAAAAAAGTAGGATATATTTTCATAACCCCACTCCACTTTAATGGTCCTCACAACTTCATTACTGACCTGTTGGCCATGATCCTTAATCCTCATGTTAAGACTTTTTTTTAAATTGGATTTATTAAATAAAACATTTTTTGTTATTTGGAATGTAAATTCAACCAACCATGTTTAATGATTTTTTTTCTTGTCATTTCTGCACAGATAGTTTAGCATAATAATGTTAATAACAGCTCAGATGATATGTAGAGCTGCAGAGTTTGCAAGCTAGGCAAGCCCCTAAAGGAATGAAGCATCAGGAACATGTCAGTAGAGGAGTGTTAATGAAACGACACGCACAGGGTGTGTCCACAAGTTCGTTTCCAACAAGAAAGTAACAGACTTTCAATTCAAGACCTCTGTTCCCAGCTCTCTGTAGAGACTTAAAGGATTAAAACCTCCTTTCAAGGTGTTATCTTAAGCTTTCAAACTATAAATTGCAGAGGGTTTCCAGCATTTCAGTTTCGTTTCTGCAAATAAGCAACGATATATATATATATATATATATATATATATATATATATATATATATATATATATATATATATATATATATATATATATATATATATATATATATATATATATATATATAAATGTTGTTTGCTTATAATAACGAATCTGCTCTCACTGCTCAACACATCAGCAGGCTGTAAAAGAAATTATAGGTGTTGCAGAGTGCCAAATAGTTTTATTGGTTTTATGTGCAAAGCAGCAGCACGTTTGCAGAAGGAGGAAGATTCCAATTAAAAAAGAATGACAAGCAACTGAAGGTTCAGGGTAACACAATGAAAACATGCCTTTTAAAACCTTCTGAAATATGAGTAAAGATGTTGTCCAAAGTAAAAAAAAAATACATATTTGAATGATATTTTTATGGATTTAAGGACCCTTTACTAACTCACTTAATTGCCAGTGTACTCTTTAAAAAACACATTGCATTAAACACAAAAAAAGTCTTGTTTTACTAAATCAGATCAGTTTCTCTTTTTGCAAGGCTCTGTGAATCTGCACCCTCTTTGTGATCCCTCTCAGATAAACTGCAGCAATGGTTTCAGGGCTTCCAGGCAAACTGCTGAATGGATAGGTCATAAACTCACTCACTAACGCCTGCAGCTAGTAGGTGGGACTCACAGGAAAAACAAGTTTGAGGGCCAATCCAAAATGACAGCTTTCTCTTTTCTCTTTCCAGAATGCAGTAAAAATCATAAATTTAGACCTCAAAGAACTATCTGTTTATCTTCTTGACAGACTTAAGCTGCTGGTTTCCTCCATAGCCCTCTGATCCAGCCTCTTCTGGCTAAGCACAAACTTACTCCCACCACTAGAGTTTAGAGAGTTCCAGCAGAAAGACAAAGTGCTTTTTTTTTGTTGGCTTCTTTGTTGAGTGTACAGAAGAGTCTTTGTCTGGCCACAGGTGGTCCAACCCTCCTGCAAAGGCTGCAATTTACTGACACGATAGATACTTTCATGGAAACACCAGTGCAGCGTTACTCAGCTTTAAGACCCGACTCCAGAGCCATTGGAAAGAAGAGTTAAAGTTGTTCACACACTAACTTAAGACAAACTTGAGACAGTTTGTTGGTGAGTTTATCTGAAGTTGCCGTAGAAACCTTTTAAACCCCCTCAGCTTTTTTCTCCCTCCTTTTTTTTCTATTTCTTTTATTTGTATAGAGTCCAAAAGACAAAAAGAAACAAACTTCTGTAGAGCACTTGCTTGGAATTTGCTGTAAAGACAGTTTGATAATGATAAGACTGATAATGTGACTGGGTTCCTACCAAGCAGCAGGAAAAGCTTGAAAAGGTTAAATAAAAGGAGGAGGTTGTAAAAAGAAAACCCAACTCACTTCTGAATATTGAGCAACATTTTCAATTAGCATGTTAAATGATTTATATTAGTAACATTCAGTACTTTCCCAAAAAAATCTGTACAGGACAAGTGCATAAATCCTGCAGCATGACTCCAAACTTAAGAGGAAAAAAGTTGGAGTTTTTTTTTTTTTATAAAAAGCTTTGGAGGGTGAAAACATTGGAGCAAAAAAAAAATAGTAATAAAAATACAGATACTGGAGATTTAGTACAAAACTTAGTCAGTCTGGTCTGTAAACCTCATATGATCAGGGATTATGTTTTGTTATGTTTTTTTTGCACCAGACCGGTGGCTTGATACGAGCATAGGGAGGGAAAGATGACAGTCAGCTCCTTGAAGGTGATGCCACGGGTGGGAAAAAGGTAGACTGCTCTCTCTGGAGAGGAGTTCAAGTATAATGGTGTCATCTGTCAGTACTGTTCGGAGCAACTGCGTTACATAATCTCATTATTATTAACTGTGTCAGTTTTGCATTAAATAACAAATGTAACTCTTTGCTTTTAAACTTTTGGAAAGGCCATTATGTCACTTGCAGTCCAAAGAAATCATAAGCCCACTCTCTGCAGCAGGGAGAGGTTTTTACTGCAGAGACTAGTGGCTGGTAGCTGAGGCCCCCAAACGTGACACCGATTGGCTAAGAATGCAATGTAGGTGCCTCCAGAAATGTTTCATAGGGGTGGCCAGATGGGGGCACTAAAAAGGTTGGGGTGGCACACTGAAACTAAAAGCCATAATTTCAGGATTTAAATCTACTATTGTGGTAAACCTGAAATCATAAAGACTTAAGTAAACACATACTCATATCTTTGTTTATTGTGTGATTTTTAAGGTTTTGTCGCTGGCTGTGCAGAATGGGATGAAATGCTAAACTGATGCGAGTGGGGTGGCCAGTGGTGGGTATTTAGCCTTCCTTGAACATAGATCGAATGGAGAGATGATGGAGCAGATGCACTGATTAGGTAACAGCGCTTAAGTCGAAGGCTGAACGTTCCTGTGATTTGTTCATTATGTGCGTCAGCAAAGACTTAATATACATCTGTTAGAAGCATCTCTTATTTAAAGAAGCTCCTTACATTAATTTTTTAAAAGTTTACCTTCTGTTTAATTCTATTGCAAAGTGTATTTTTTGTTACATTTATTGAAAAGCATTTTCTTAAATATCTAATTTGCTTTATTTTATTTTGATAAAAAAAAAAACACAATCCCGTTAATTATATCACAGCTAAATTCTCCCATCAGTCAAACAATAATGATGCAGATTAGCATACAGTGTTTTCAGCTGTTGCTATGATTTTCCCCTTTAGGTGTTCTATTTATTTATTCTTTTCAGCTTTTATTTTCATTATACTGTCACAGGTACTGGGCAAAGTTTCAATCTCTGCAATTAACCTATCCCCTTGGGGAGCAGTGGGCTGCCATCATGCAGCGCCCGGGGAGCAGTGTTGGGTTAAGGGTCTTGCTCAGAGACCCAGAGTGGCAGTCTGTGGGAGTGGGGCTTGAACTCAGAACCTCAAGTTTCCAAGCGCAATGCCCTAACCACTAGGCCACTTCTCCCCATGAGTTTCTTTTTGAGTTTTCAGTTATCTATGCTATTCTGTTCTGTTGATCTTTGGGTTCTTTTCCATTTTGTGTTATATTTAAGCTGTGTTGCATTGTTTGAGTTACTCTCTGATGACCCCTTGTGCCTGTTTCCTTTCCCCTAGCTTCCTTCTAGTCACCTCTATCCACACCTGCACTAAATCAGCTCATTAGCCCTTTCTTTGTTGTGTCCCCCATATATACTCCTCATCTGCATTTCATCATTGCTGGTTTCTTGTCGCTACTTGGCTCTTCATGTGTTGTTAGCCCTGGTTTTTGGTTTCTTGTGATTTGTTCTTGGATTTTGTTTCTGTTGCATTTTTTATTTCATTAAACCTGCAACATTTTATCTCTGCCTTCCTCACCTCTACCTTTGGTTGCTCAACCA